GTACCTGGCTTGGAGTACAGTTCAGGAAAAATCTTTTCCATTCTATGGATGTTTGTCACCCTTGCACAAACATGGTTCATTAAAGAACCATACATCAAAAGGTTCTTAAGGAACCAAAGTAGTTCCTCTATGGCATTAAACCCTTTGGTCACCTTTTTTTTTGAAAAGTGCATTGTAACTGTGATGGCATTGTTACTGTATAGTATCGCTTGACTGAAAACGCAGTGTTTGAAATATTCCAGATCCGTCCAAGAATGTGAGAGACTATTGCACACCCTAGCACTGATTGTAGAGATTAGTCCAGCTGAAGGGCTTCCACTTTGGTGGACTGAGAAACAGAAGGAGATGAGCTGCTCGTAAACTTCAAATCAGTGTGCCCTGGTCATGCAAAGGCATTTTGAGGAGGACCAGATGTTTCAATTTGAGTAGAAAGCTCCCTCAGAGCAGACCCATGTCCTATGCCTTAGCCTCGTCTTGGGGATTTAGCATTTAATAAAAGGTAGAATCTACCAGCCGACCTTATCTTCCTAATAAGTCTTGAAGGAGACGTGATGTTCCAGTGCACTTAAGAGCCGCTGGCAGAGAAATAAAGCTAACAATAGGCAGTGAAGGATCTTTATGCTCACTGATAACTTCAGCAGCGCATGATTTCGAATTCCTTTTGATTTTACTGCATCCAGTTGGCCTGTCACAATTATTTGAGATGATCGTAATTGATTAAGCTGACTGCAGGTATTTTTCACAGCCAGACAGATATCTCAGTCATAATATGCTGGAGCAAACAAAATGTGAATTGAGTTTGTTGGGTTGAGGCAAATAAATGAAAGTAAAAGAAAGCAGTAAATGCATTCACTGAGACATATGGGGCTTATGAAAACCAAAAGAATGTAACTTCTAACATGTTTAGAGGAAAGTGCTGGAAAATCTTTGTTTATTTGTTAGCTGGGTTGTAACAATTCTGAAACCACAGATTCTCAGAGACCGAAACCACAATATAAACATCCACAGTCTGGGAAGACTGAACTGCGATATCCCCTCCCACCACCCAAACCCACTGCTAACAAAGCTCATTTTTTATTTTAAAGTTCACACAATAGCACATAAATCATGAAATTATAATTCTATTTAAAGTTAGGGCAAGCTATATATTCTTTAATGTTCTCTTTAGCCTTCCATATTGTTGTTAATTTGATAAAACACAGACCCCCTTTTTTTCTTATTCACACTACAAAAAAAAGGTCTGAATTGAACCGTGGATTTGGAGAATTGTTACACCCCTGTTTGTTAGCTATGTAGCTAAATCTAATGTTTTTAGCATGTAGGCTGGCAGAATAAGTGTGTGTTTGCTTATATTCTCTTTCATGAAGAGGATGTAACTTTGCTTAACTCGACACGTAAGTCTGTCTAGCCAACAACCAATGTTAGCTACTAAGTAAACATAGCTAGTTATAAGATGGCACATCAGCCAATTTGGCGACATTAGGTTTGTATTTTGGTAGTTGCAAACAAGAAAAGACCATGAAAACCTGAATCACAGTTATTTATGTGACAGCCCTCACCTCAATCCAGTAACAGCAGATTATTCTGGCTTTGGGCCTGAAGTAGTTTAAACTGGTTTAATAGGGACCCTCATGCAGTTCAGCTTACTTACATCATTATTCATTATTGTTACCCCATCTGGATATGCAGGAAACTTCCTGACATATGCAGGAAAGGGTTCCTGACGTTGGAAGTCCATGTGGTTAAAGGGAAATTCCATTGTTTCATTAAGTGGAATTTCCCATGTAGCAAATGTAAACAAAGCTGGAAAATTAAATTATTAGATGTGTTCTGATAAAATAGCAAATACAGTAGCAACACTCCCTAGAGACTGATTAAGGGTGAGGTAAGCATGCTGCAAAGATAGTTTTGCCATAAGTATTTTTAACTTTAACTTTTTTAATGATACAAGTGAATCATTTATGTCTGTGTGAGAAAATTTTTACTGTGTGAAATCTGTGGAGGAGGATCTGAGATAAGGGTTACTTTCAGACTGTTGGCAAATAGCGAGTGTAATTTATCTTCAAAAGAAAACTAAAGATAAAGCCATCATAAAAAACATACTTTATGAAGACTCAGAACTGCAGCACCACCATGCTCAGTCTCAGAGGAAACTAGTCTGTGTCGGAATCACTGTGGAAAAAAAGGCCAAACGCACATAATCATCCTCAAAATTTTACTGTGTAGATTAGCGCAGGATCTGGGAATAACCGGATTTATTGAGAAGAGGGGGTTACTGGTTCCCCTTCTGTCTGCTTTCAAACACTGTAATGCTGCGTACAGCCAAAGTCAGCAAAACCATTGAGCAGTTTGTGCTTTCACTCACTCATTGCTGGCTAGTCTTCAGTACTCTTTCGTGCATAGTTGACTTCATCCTTTCTCCCACTCAGTAATCTTTCATTCCTGCAACGCTTCTTGATCTTTTTTGTCTGCTTGTACTTTTCTCGACTGAGTAATTAGGGACCTGGATCACTTCCCTGCCTTTTGTTTGCAGCCTCTGTAAGCCTTTAGCTGAATGCCAGCATTTTCCCGTACACACCATGGTTTGTGGCTTCAGCCATTTGCTGGAGTCAACCACTGGAATTGTTTTGTTTTTTTTTTTTTTTATATAGGAGATGTGAGTAAGTGGCAAAATAAAAGAGGAGACAGGGAAAAAAGATAAACACACATAGGAGGAGAGATAAAAATGTGAGAGAGTGAAGGGAGTGAGGAAGACTAACAAAAGAGGCCTTATAAACAGAAATTGGCAGAGTAGATGAAACCCATACCAACTTTGGTGAAATATGGCTCAAATAAGTTAGTACCTTTCCAAAAACAGCCTGAGTGGAAGTACAAGAGTAGATTTTTTTTTCGTTAAAATTGAAAGAAGTAGCTTTATTAGTCATGAGATAAAACATGCTGTAAAGCCTGAAATGGTCTTTTAAGCATAAGGGGTATTTGGTCAGATTTCGTGGGAGTTTCAGACCACTCTACATTTTTATGTCCACACACAGGCTCAAAAAGAAGGTCTGGTTCAATGTTTAGGTGCTAAATCAACATACTGATAAAGACCCCGTTTCCAAAAATGTTGGGATGCTGTGCAAAATGTAAATAAAAACAAAATGCAGTGATGTGCAAATCATTTAAAACCTATATATAATTGAATGTAGTGCAAAGACAACATATCAGATATTGAAATTGAAGCTGTATGCCCACTGGTAAAGTTGTGTGATGCAAAAAATAAATAAATAGATAACAACTGAAGGTTAATTGGTAACAGGTCAGTAACATGATTGGGTATAAAAAGAGACTCCCAGGCTTTCAGAAGTAAAGTTGAGGAGGGGTTCACTGTTGTATTTGTACTACTTTCAATTAAATATGGGCTTTCCATGATGTGCATATCATTACATTCTATTTTTATTTACATATTGCACATCGTCCCAAAGTTTTTGGAAACAGGTTGTATGATGACATCAGGGAAGGGGTCCAAAGCCAACCAGTGTTACAAAGTGTTCCTCTGCGTTTCCAAATCCCCAAAACCTACGTAGTCTAACTTTAAGTACTGAATATCTATAATAACTGTAGTGGAACTTCAATCAGCATCTTATTAGCATGGGAACTGAAGATTGTTAGGTGCTATTCTTCTCATTTGCTTCACTAAAAATCACAAACCTCAAATGTCAGAGGCCAATCGCAGAGTAGTCCAGATACTGTCACCAACGGAAGATAATGCAATTGAACACAAACACACTCAAAAAAGAAAAGTAACAAAGGAGTTTACTCATAATTATACATGAGCAGAAGTACTGTCATTTGAAAGTCTTAGGCATCTGAGAAAATTATAGAAAAGGCTATGTTTCTGGACAGACAATTGCATTTATTTGTAAGTCAGTGTGTTGGCTAATCTAGCCTTTCATTAAATTAAATCAGGTTTACCGCTGATGGAATTGTGAAGGCTGGAGAGCAGCAAAAAGTCAGGAACCAAACCTGTGTTTCTTTAACTGTATTCTTATGACCAAGATATCAATAGCTTCACTGAAAACAAGAAATTCTTATATTTTACTGTATTTACTGTCTTATGCAAAAGTTGAGGTGCCCTGGTCAAATTACATGTTTTGTTGATTTTCTAAGTGAAATAAGTTGACACATTCTCTACAGAGAACACACTTCTCCTCTTTTTAATGCACAAATACTGTTTATTTGATGAACGTATTGAGGAAAAAATATAACCTAAACCGTGGCCTGTGTAAAAAGTTATTTTCCACTTAGATATTATGTTCTAAAAATATTTTAAACAAATAAATAGACATTGTGCACTAAAATATGCAGAAAAATGCTGTATTTACATCTGTTGTGTCAACTTATTTTCACTTAGAAAATCAACAAAACATGTAATTTAACCAGGGGTGTTCAAACACTCGCATACAACTGAATGTTCATTTATTCTAAAGTTACACAATGTAAAAACTGGAACTTCCAACAAAGATAAATAGTTGTAGACAATTTTCTTAGTTGCGTAAGACTTTTGCACAGTACTAGAACTGAGGAAATGTAACTATTTACAACCCAACTGATTAAAATATGACAAAAAGCCAGGTTTCTTTGTAATATGGCTGTTATTTTGACAAACCTTTGCTTCAAGCATGAGAGCACTTCACCAGCTCCCTTTGTGAGGTTCCTGGGGTCTTAACTATGACGTTGTCTACATTCTTGCTGAATGTGGACATCTAATTAACTATTCACAGCTCAGAGGGTTGTGGATCCACATGGGTTGATGGAAAACCTGATCTGTTTGCATTACTGCAGGGACTTAATGAAGGAGTTGCAAGCCAGACTAGCATCAAGTTTCCTTCAGGGTCATATGTCATTCAGGCTTAGTCCAGTTCTTTTGGCCAAATAGGGAAAAAAAACATGAGCATGTAATGAACAGAAGATGAAGTAAAAACTCCTTTGATGTTTTTTTCATTGTATTCCTATTCTAGAATATGATGGCTCGCCCACGATGAGATACCAGAGCCCAGGCACTGGATTCACCTCCAAGTCGCTCATGTACAATGGCAGCAGAGTAATAGTAAGTGTTACATCACAACCAAAAGCTCCTTATTTTTCCAGTTACAACTTCCTTATGTTACTATTGAGTCTTAAAAGCTGGTCAAACTAAAGCAATAAGCCATAAGAGACTGCACATTACAGTGACTTTTCATGGCTAAAGGCTGTTGTTAGTCGTCGAAATCCACCATAATTTTGGTAAAATCACTGTAATACTCAGCCTCTCATGTTGTATGGCTTTAAGGGGGCCCATATAATGGAAAACAATCTGTTTTGATATAATTGATATTGTGACATCACAAAAACAACCGACACATTTACATGTATTTGTCTATTCAATCTACAGCAGTTTAGTCCCGCCTGTTTTCTCTGAAGTTATAAGGAGTGTTCTCTGCAGCTGATCAGAACAGAGGTCATATACATATATCAATCTTAAAGGTGCAGTAACAAAAGTGGTCTGTTTAATTAAGTGATAAAAGAGCTTTCATAGGTTGTGTTCAATAAATAACTTCATTTATTATTAGTAGTAATCACAAATAACAGTTCTTACACCAAGCAATATATTTCATTAATGGAAATGGATTACGGTTGCCGAGCAACGTAATAATTTTTAATTACTTGTTGCATCAATATCGAATTCAGATTTGTGTGATCATATTGTATTTAAGTACATTGAGTATTTTACAGTGGCTTCAAATATGGCTTAGTCAAATACAATTTGTCCTAGGAAAAAAGAATGTTTAGTTGGAAATCTCCATTTTATCTTCATTTTATTCAGTGGCTGAGCTTAACCTCTGTCCGTCAGTCAACCCCACTTAGTCTCTGTAACATCCTGAACACAGGCCTCAGCCAAAAGCCTTAATTTAGGAGTGGGCATTTGTTAGCTGGATGGCAAGCTCCACAATCTCTTAACAGTGACACATTTCAGGGCTGCACCTCTGCCTCATGCAAGTGTAGTATTTGACGTTCTCCTGCCACAGCCAAGTTTAGGAGGTGAAGTCCAGCTCCAGTGGGCTTCAGGGGCAGAGCTCAGGGTGCATCTGGAACATTCCCAACTCATGACCTCATGAGTTAAACGGCCAAGAGGAGGCCTTGCTAACTCCTGCTGTGATAGCAGAAAAGCAGGGAGATGTGCCAGCGTGGAGTCAGAGCAAGCTAAAACAGAGACAATAATGAGAAAACAAGCGTGTGTAGTGTGTCAACCAGTTTTACTCTTGTTACAGTAATGATTATTAAGTAAAACTTATGGCCCACTTTGTCTTTGTTACAGATAAGTGGCACATTATCAAAATATAACAAAGTATACTTTATTTAATTTTTTACTTTTTTTATGATGGATTAAGTGTTTTGACAGTTTTAAACTGTTATGACAGTCAGTAGATTTAAGTTAGATAGAAGTGCCAGGTAGCTAATGAGGTATGTAGGCTCTCAAAACCATTTTTGAGAGCCTACACACGTAGTGTATTTAGGTACGGATGACACAGTTTATGTTACCAGGAAAGCCAGAATAGCCAGAATTAAAAAAAAGTGGTAGATTTGGTATAAGCATGCCTATTTGCCTCTTACTGTGGTACTGTAATCTCTGAAGTGAGATTTCATGGCTTAAAAACTAGGGAAAAGCCCTTCTGATGAGGTATCTTGAAAGTGGAAGTAAATTTTAAAAAACTGCAAGTTCTTTGGGGTGGATACATGGAGGTGGTTTCCCCCCTCCCCCTCGCCCCAGCTTTTACAAAGAAAAAAAATTTGGCAACCAGTTGAGGCTGGTGCTGTATAACTAATCCTAGCTAACACCACAGATTTATTAGCATCTAGATCAGTGGCTAGTAGTCAGGATTTGTTGTGGCCCAAAGGGATTTCCAAATGCATTCTGGGTATTGTAGTGAGGGAACTCGGATGGATGGATGAAATCCATCCATTACTTCTGTCAAGCCAGTGAAACTGTGGGATGCAGTGCTGCCGTACACAATAGTGCATAACATAACAAATAACAAATGCTAGTTTTAGGCCAGAAGACCCCAGGTAGTACCACTAGCACAGGTAGGTGTCCAGGTGTTTAATGCAAAGATGTTTTAAGATTACACAAACTGTGTCGGTGTTATGTGTTAGTTTGGCCTACATGCACACTCAGAACATTAGACAAACTCAGTGACTTCACATGTAGTTCAGTTCAGTTTATCAGTTCATTTTGTTTCTTAGCCAGTTCCCTTTGCAGAAGTTAACACAAATAAACAGTACGTTGTTAATTGGCCTTTCAGTGCTCTGCCATCAAAAGCGTTCTTTCTTAGGAACTGTTGCAGTGTTGGACAAACTTTACAGAACAACAAAAATCTCATTCAGCCTAATGAGAAACTTTAGCGATGTTTGTTTAGAGTTGCTACATAAGGTTGAGTTTCCATTTAAAATGCTACACTGCTATGGACTGTGCCATGTATTTTGTTGGGCCATGTTGTTGCTAACTGAAACTAGGTTGTGATAAACTAGGAAACCATAATGGTGAACTTGACCACCATGCTAATGTTTGCTCAGTTACAAAACTACACTTGATTTGTCCTAACAGTATGAACTTTAACATGCATGCAAGTTAAATATGATTTGTAATTGTGATAACACAATCTAAATGTAGCTATTTTGACAAAAAAGGTTTTATGATACAGTAACATTCAACATTTGGTTGAATGTTATTTTTGCCAATGTTCTTTAAAGCTTGTCCAATCTTTTCAGTGATTACTACAAAAGAATGGAGCATGGATAGAACATTAAACATGCAGTTTTTGAAAGGTTGGAGAAAAGCTTACACCTTTTAAAGGTTAATTGTCCATTGTCTCATCACTGGACTGTCTTGCTCTTACCACAGAATCCACGGCTGTCACAGTATGCTGGAGGATTCAGCTCCCGCTCAGCTGTGGAGGTGGGCACACAGCGCAGCAGGATCAGCCACGGTGTCCCCATGCCTGCTGTTGTGGGCCGCCCATATGCATTCTACGATGACACATATGTTGGTGGCCATTACGCAGGCCAGACGCACACTGGTGAGTCCAGGGAGATCATCAGGGCGGAGCAAGAAGCAGCATTACTAGGCCTTCAATCACTGCCACGACAGCCCTCTCCTATGGCCAACTGGATGACTCAGGAGGGTATGGCCTCCACAGAGCATCAGTCTTACTATGGCCACAGCACTTTGCCCAGTGCGTCTCCAATGATACGCACTCTTAGCGGTACGCTAGCACGGGAGGGGATCAACAGGGGGAGGGAGGCGGAGCTTGCTCAGCAGTATTCCTTTAAAGGCCCCGCCCATCGTACCATCACCCGTATGAACAACCGGCAGCTGCAGAACCAGAGGCTGAACAACAGCTCCATGCAGTGGCAGCAAGTGCCCTCTGGCGGCAGCAGTGCGATGGCCGGAGGGCACTACCAGAGCACCATGAGGCGAGCCGGATCTGTGCATAGCCTAAAGAGTGTGGGTCGAGGGGTGGACGTGTGCGACGCAGGAGCTGATGGAACGGGCAGTGACATTCATGGAGGGTGAGGGAATGGGCTGTATGCTATTGACCTAATTGAATCAAAATTGCATGCTAACTAGCCAAACCCCTAATTGGCATTATGCAAATTATGTAATTCTAATTAGTGGCTGCCAGCAGTTGTTTTTGTCCATTGTACGACTATTCATGTAATTCTGGCATAGCTTATCCAAAGGGGGTGCACAGTATATCTGTGGCTAACATATCACAGATAAACGGGAAGGTTTTGTTAGTATTATCATTCTAGCTATGTTACGTTATGTACATTTTTAAAAGAAGTTTAAGCCAGTTTTATGCTCACTGCTCTTTATATATCCTTATTGTCCAAAGAAAACAGAAGAAGAAAGATTTTATTCCAAGGTATTTTTTGAACATTTTTATGGGTCCAATCATTATCAAATTTTTTCTCACAGTAAAAAGGGCAGCTGCTTTGTTGAAACTGTAAAAAAGTGGAGATACTTGTTTTTTGTTTGTTTGTTTGTATGACAGCATTGATATAGATAATATTGTAAAATGAAAAAAAATGCTTGGTTATTTTTAGGGATCCACCAATATGGGCCTTGTGGGCCGATGCCAATAGACAATGTTTTTCACATTCATATCTGCTGATGCTGATGCGAAATTGGGACTACATCCCAGTTTAGCGCTATGGAGCACTAGGTTTAAAAATGCGGTGAAATGAATAAAATGCAAATCTTTATCATCACCACTTAAGTATGCTGCTTTTTCAAATATCAGTTGGAGATTTCAGTCAAATATAACATCTGTCTGGTGCCAATAATTTAAGCAAGTATCACCCAATACTGATATTATTACAATATCATTGTGCATCCTAAGTTACTTTAACTGGTATCAGCAGTCAGGCCTTAACTATTGCTTGTTGTTATTGGCCCAGAAATCCTGTGTTGGTACATCCCTATCATTCAAGAACGTACAGCATCTTACAAGCTTACAAGGTTGTAACCAATAACAAGCGTACAAGCTTCAAGTCAGTCTTGAGGCATGTAAGCATTTGTAAACATTTAACTTGAATCCCATTGCCAAATAATATTGGTCAACAGTAGGCAGTCTGACTTGCGTTTTGTGATGCTGCACTATACTTAACCATGACCTTATTTTTGCTGTTCCTTCTCTGGCCCTTGAGCAGAATCCATAGCCTGGACATGCCAACTGCAGTGAGCTATCTCAGCTCCTCAGATGTTTCCATGCAAATGTTGGGAGCAGCCTACATCCAGCATCAGTGTTACCATAGCGTCGAGGCCAAAGACCTGGTAAACAAACTTTTTATCATATCGTTTTAGAACCTTCTGACACTGTTGACCATTAACCAGCACAGAACCACACCCATAATTCATAGAGCTGTGATATGTGCTGTTTTGTAACGTAAGGGCAATACATGAAGTTGTTTGTGACCTTTTGTCACAAGGCCTCCAGATAGACTAGTCCTTTTTAATATATATATATATATATATATATAGCCTGTATGTATGTAGGTATGTGTCTGCGTGTGTGCATGTATGTATGTGTGTTTACCTTTGCTTTTACTTTTTGAACTGTAGACTAGATCAAAGCTAGGTGCATGGAATGTTATCCCACTGTCCCTAATCATAATCCACAGGTCCTGGGGAGAGGCATATTCCGCTTGAGTGGACATGTTGGCACAAACAGGGCAAAGCTTTTCATTTAGCCTGCAGATATCTGAATAGGTTGCCATGTTAAGCTAAACTCCACCTCAGGTGGCTTATACTGGCAAAGTAGACACCTTAAACTGAAAACCTATAGGAGCAAGGTTATGATACTGTAGATGGAATGAAAAATTAAGATTAGGGTAAAGATGAATGATACGCTGAGGTTGGGTTTAAGGCTTATATGTTTCACTGGTACTCTTGAACAGGTACGTACACTGAAGGGTATCCCTGCGCTGGTGCAGCTGTTCAGCAGTGAAAACCAGGAAGTGCAGCGTTATGCAACGGGAGCCACACGCAACCTCATCTACGAGAACATGGAAAACAAGACAGCACTTATCGAAGCAGGCGGCATCACCAAACTGGTCAGCGCATTGAAAGAGCCAGACGATGAACTCCGCAAGAACGTTACAGGTATAACATACTGTATTCATGCTAAAAGATTCAGACATAAATTCTGCTTGTTTCTAAATTCCTGTTGCACCCACTATCCCCTCTAACCCTATATTTTAATTGAAAACATTTTTCCATTGTTTAAATAATTTGAAAATGCCCTTTGCTCTATACATTGTGTGTAAATTTCATGAGGAATGAACCAGAAGAAATGCCCCAAAAAAACATGGAAAAAAGTCTGGTTCAACTGACTTGCATTAAAAGTAAAGTCTATTTTTTTCCTTCTCCTGTAACATTTTCATTTTGGAGATACAAGGTTTTATTCTGACAGCCGTAATATAAAATGTTAAAACTGCATCCATAAATGCACGTTAAACCCTACCATGCAAAGAAGAAACCATATATAAACAGAATCCTGAAATGTCGCTGCCTTCTCTGGGCCTAAGCTTATTTAAGATGGACTGAGCAAAGTGGAAAAGTGTCCTGTGGTCCGACAAATCAAAATTTGAAATTCTTTCTGGAAATCATGGACACTATGTCCTCTGGGCTAACGAGGGATAGGAGGGATAATCCGGCTTGTTATCAGCACACAGTTCAAAAGCCAGCATCCGTGATGTTATGGGGGTGCACAAGTGCACGTGGCATGGGTGACTTGCACATCTGTGAAGGCACCATTAATGCTGAACAATATGTGCAGGTTTTGGAGCAACATATGCTGCCATCCAATCTTTTTCATGGAAGGCCATGCTTATTTCAGCAAGACAATGTCAGACCACATTCTGCATGTATTACAACAGCACGGCTTTGTATTAAGAGTCCGGGTGCTAAACTAGTCTGTCACCATTGAAAACATTCGGCTCATTATGAAATGACAAATACAACTGTTGTTAAAATAAGAGGTGATGCAACACAGTGGCAAACATGCCCCTGTGCCAACCTTTTTTTAAACGTTGCTGGCATCAAATTCAATATGTGCATATATTTTTCAAAAAGCAATCACATTTTTCAATTTTAACATTTGATATGTCGTCTTTGTACTATTTTCAATTAAATATATGGTTTAAATCTTTTGCACGTAATTGCATTCTGTTTTTGTTTGCATTTTGTATGTATTTTGTTTGCATTTTGCACAGCATCACAACTATTTTGAAAACAGGGTTGCAGAAATAAGGTTTTGTTCTGACAGTGGCGACATATAAACAGGACTAGGGCATCCTTCCCATCTAATGGGAGCACTGCCAGCTGTGCTCTTGTGGACTCCAACCTTTGAAACTAGGGTTCCGATTAGGTTTGGGTCCATGCAGTAAGTGCCAGCTAAGTTAGCACAGTGCATTCCAGTATAAAGGATAAGACTGTCATTGTTAATCAAGTTATAACTTGTTTTGTCAGTCAAGCTACTTAGAAAGTGGATGACCTACTCATTAAAAAGGTCTAGTTACTAAAGCTAAGTGCAGTGAATGTTTTAGTCACATTGACGTGAGCAGAACTGGCAGCTACCACAGGTGAATTTGGGGTAAATAGAGCGGTGAGTGTATCCTGAGAGAGAGAGAGAGACAGAGAGAGAGAGAGAGCAAGAGAGAGAATGGTCAAGCTGTTCTCTGGACTTTGAAATCCTGTGAGACCGTGGCCATTACCCTCCCAGAGGCCTCTTTTGTGCTGCGGTGCACTGCCTGACCCCCCCCCCACTATCCCCCCACCCACAAAAACACAATAAACAACAGCTGAAATTCTTTGGTTGTCTCTCCTCGGTTGCCAGGTCTCTTAGTGAAATTTTATGACCCGTTTTCTAAACTAGTCAGTGTGAAGATCCACTTTATTACCCCACAGATCACAAGTCAAGAGGCCAACAGTGTGAATTTAGTATTTCAAATTAGAGTTTTAATATATTATTGTTGACTTTTTTTTTCTTTATTTTCTTTGTTTAATAATTTCTTTCATTTGTCTTTGTCTTATTTGTTTCTTTCTGTTTGTTTTTCTGTCTGTCTTTGTTTTGTATTCTTTCTTGCTTTCTTTCTTATATTTTTTCTGTTTGTTTTTTTTCTGTTGTTATTTTTGTTTGTTTTTCTTTCCTTCTGTTTGTCTTTTTTCCTTCCTTTTTCTCTCCATGTCTTTTTGTTTGTAGGCATTCTGTGGAACTTGTCATCTAAGGACAGTTTGAAGGAGCGGTTGGCGAGAGAGAGTTTAGTGGAACTGACTGAGAGAGTGCTGATTCCTTTGTCTGGAGGAGGAGATTCTGGAGTTATCCAGCAGAGCCCATCAGAAGCGGATATATTCTACAACACTACAGGCTGCCTCAGGTACACACACACACACATACACACACACACACACACACACACACACACACACACAAGTATATATACAACAACTCTAAAATGGTGACTTTGAATTTGATTGATTGTAACAATTTTTTATTCTATCTCTTTTATTCTGATTTAATTCTAATTCTTTAAAACAGGAAAATAAAAAAAAGATGTAGACAATGAAAGAGACAGTCACAGTATAAAAAAAGCATGAATTATCAGTTCATTTGTATTATAATAGATAAATTGCAGTGCACATTTTACTTGGAAAACACAACCCCTCCCATACTTTGCATAGCCAAACTATTTACTGTATACAGGGCGAGAGAACCATCTTTATCTCAGCCATTAACTCTTGTTTTGATTCACGCATTCCATTGTAGAAACTTGAGCTCAGTGAATGGAAGGACCAGACAGCAGATGAGGGAGATTCGTGGGCTGGTGGACTCTCTGGTGGGGTACATCCAGAACTCTCTGCAGGAAGGCAAACCTGAAGACAAGGTCAGTCCTGAGAAACAAAATGCCTGACCCAAGCACAGTAGCAGAACTTCTTGACCTACAAGTGTCACCTCTATTTGCACAAAAGACAGAAATCGACCCTGAAGTATAAATTTCTAATAAAAAAAAAAAACAGTAGTAAATAACAAATAAAATTCTACATTTCTCAAAAGCATAACTTACGGTGAAAGAAAAAAACAAGAAAAATATCAAATGAAGGTATATATTTAACTGTCACTGTATTTTGAATGACTCTCTTTCTCTGGTCTAATCTAGGGTGTAGAAAACTGTGTTTGTGTGTTGAGGAACCTGTCCTACCAGCTGTACACTGAGATCCCCCCATCAGTGCAGCTACGCTTGGAGGGCCCTACTCGAGCTCAGGCCACACGCCATAGTGACGCCATCGGTTGCTTCACTCTACAGGGGAAGAAGACAAAGGATGTAAGTCACATCCATGATCCCTATTTATTTATTTTTATTGACTATAATCAAAATGTTTTAGCCCTGCTGCTTTATTAAAGTCTGAAATCAAGTTTTGCAGAGGTGCAAACATATCATTCAATTAATATTTATTTATTTGTTTATTTATTTATATCATTTACGTCACAGCTGTGGGGCAGTGTTTATAAAGCTACATGACACTTACATGGCTATCCTCATTTGATGCATTCTGGGAAATGTAGTGTATTAAGATTTGTTGTAGTCTTTTGGTGATTTGTTGTTCCCTGTGGTTGTTTCTGCCCTGCAGCAGAGGAACCAGGAGCTGTCTACATTTACCGAGGTGGCGCGAGTGCCGAAGGGGGCAGAGTGGCTGTGGCATCCTCACATTGTGGGCCTGTACAATCGCATACTGCAAAACTGCGATACAAACACCGCCACCCGCGAGGCTGCGGCCGGGGCTTTACAGAACATAACAGCAGGGGAAGGCCGGGTAAAAAGGCATCTCTAACCCACACACTTTGACTGATCATCTAACGCCAGTGTCCCAGATACTAATTAAAGCTATATGTTGTCATATTTATGTTGTCATCAGATAGCTGTTTTAAATGTTAATGATTGAAGATAAATGTAGTGGAAGCTCTAAGATCTTGTGGATTGTGAAGAGCTTATTCCCAGTAATAACTGCTGTTCTAGCTGTTGTCATTAGTGATCACCAATCCAAAGCTGCACATATTTTATGGCAGACATATACTCTACGTAAAGTCAGTGGAGGAACAGTGGTTTATTTCCAGTGGTTATTTACAGTGTAATTTCAGCATGCCTTTTTAGCACAGGCATAGGCCTAAATTATGGTGAATACAGCCCTGGAAGTGGTGAGTGTTCCCCACTCTGCCACGCCAGAGGCTTTTGACAGACATTTTACAGGCCCCTCCTCCTCTACATTTCACTTTTGCTGTTATCTTGGTGGCTTCTTTCCCATCTCAGTCTGTCCTTCTCACTCAGTTATGATGTAAATATTTCTTTTATATCTCCCTTTTCTTTGCATCTGTTTCTTTTCTCCCATGATCCCCCATTAATCCACATTCATGTCTCTCTCTCTCTCTCTCTCTCTCTCTCTCTCTCTCTCTCTCTCTCTCTCTCTCTCTCTCTCTCAGTGGGCTTCCGTATTGAGTCGTGTTGCACTAGAGCAGGAGCGGATGCTGCCTGTGGTTTTGGACCATTTGAGGACCCCCACCGACGCGGAGCTGCGCTCTCTCACCGGCCTGTTGAGGAACCTATCCCGCCACACCAAGAACAAGGCTGATATGGGTCAGTGCCGGAGCACAAATGGCTGTGTTAATTCCCTGAGACTTTGTTTCAGACCTACTTATAGCAAAACCGAGGAGAATTTGAGGCAGTCTTTGTAAAGTGGAGATTATAAAATGTACATACCTCCTTCTAAAATCTGATTGGCTGAGTCACATTTGTGACTCACACAGTTGTAAAATATTTCAGATTTTATATTATATGAGACAGTTGAATTCTGTATTAATGCTTCATGGGCTTTGATCATTGTGTTGCTTGGCAAAGTACAGCACAAAATTCAGAGACTTTAAACAGCCATTAAGTACAAGTTACTTATTTTTCAGGATCAGTAAAAAAGTAGAAAATATATATAACTGTAAATTACACACAAGCCTATGAATATAATATCAAATCCACTGTTTGCGTCTACAGTTATCCTTCTCGGCATACTGCAAAGATATTTTTTCCACACTTCTTGTAAACAACTCCAAAGTTCAGTGTTAGAAGTTGGTTGCATTTATTTACTGCTTCGCACAATCCAGCAATCCAGTTACAAATTTAGACTCATCAGTCCATGGAAAATAAATAAATGTACAGGTGGTCTCTGACTTTTGTGCAGTGCTGTTCATTGCTATATAATATCAGTACTGTTTTTTTTTTTTTAATAATTAAGCCACAAGAGGCCACATTACAGTGATTTCACCTCATTTAATGCGGTTTTAGGGACTCTGCTTTTTGGTTTATTGCTATCAGCCTCTAGATCTGCACCTCACACATCGTGATGTCCAGTAAATAAACATAGAACCTCTGGGGATGTTCTCTGTAACACAAAGTGTGCTTGTATCTCGCTGTTAGCATGATCTTAGTGAACAGTCCAGTTTTGCATCTGTTTAACATTCTGAAGAGCAGTTTTTAAGGTTTTGATGAGGGGTTTGTTTGGTTACTCATTGTTCTGCAATGTGCTTATTACAAAGCTTCTTAAACAATCAGCCAAAGTCAGTTTTCTACCCACACAAAACTGTATGCTGCAATTTTTATTGCATAAGCAAATGGCTATCACACTAAATGAAGTCATCTTTGGAATCTTTTCTTTCCTTTCTTACTTACTATTTCATGTCCCACCCTGTTTCATTCTTTCTAAAACAAGTTCTTTGACATAATGGTGTGCACTGTTCTTTTTTTTTTTGTTTGTTTGTTTTTTTTTCACTTTTTTGCACTAAACTTCACTAAATTATTCCATCTGCCCACTCCCCTTTCTGTATTATCCTCTCTACATTCTGTTTTATCTTTCTCCAGGACCCCTCAGTGTTACAGCTGACCCCATGGTCATTCATCTCTTGTTTTCGTTTTTTCTTCCCATTCTGTAGCTACCAAAGTGGTGAATATCCTAGTGACCAGGCTGCCTAGTGACGGGCTTCAAAAAGAGCCCTCTACTGACATAGTGGTCAACATCTGTGGTGTTCTCAACAACCTGGTCATCGCGAGCTCGCTGGCTGCAAGAGACATCACCTTCTTTGATGGATTGCCAAAGCTGGTTGGAATCAAGACATCACATGACAATAGGTAGATTTACTGTTCGCTGGGAGACTAAGCTTCTCTGCTTTTCTAGGCTTAGAGAGTAGTACATTTTCCACTTTGGTAGTCTTCTGCAGATGTCTTTGGAAATAAATGTAGCCTAGTTTTTTATTTATGAAGTTTTTCTGGATAGAGCCATGTTTAGACTGTGTGTGGAATTCAGCTCCTTTATATTTTGCACTCTGCTGGAGTCATTTCTCCATTCCAATATATACGAGACTGCACAAAACCACTTTTTCTTGAAACCATACTGGTTCAATATTTAAAACTACTGCGCTTTTAAAATTAGCTAAGTGTAATTGAAGTACGTCACTTAACGTCAGCATCTAAAAGTAGGCTGCCATGCTTTAACTGCTCAAACAGTCTACTACCTCACAGGAACAAATATACAGCAAGCAACATTACATGAACCATAGTGATGTTTCGGACTAGATGTTTTATATTAATGTTTTTTGCTGATATCAGCCCAATGTTGATATCCAGTATCGGATCGGTACTATCTATGTTTAATCTGTATGCAAAAGTTGTAATACCTCCAGTCTTAAATATGGAATTTATCTGTATATTTTAGTGCACAGTTTCTAGTCATTTGCTAAATTATCATAGTGGGAAAAATATGAATATTTAAAATGTGCCATAACTTTTGTGGCATTTTATTTTATTTTATTTTTTTTGTTTATTTATTTTTCAAATTTTATGTTACATTCAGCAAATAAACAGCATTGTTTTGTTTAATTGTGCATTAAGCATGTTGTGCAGGATGTACATAAGTGTGTTCTTTGTAGAGGATGTGTCCTTATGTTCACTTAGAAAATCAACAAAACATGTACACGTTTACATATCTAAAATACGTAGCCATTAGATTTACACTGTCGTGTTGCGTGACTTATTCATTATTTAGCTGAATGGTACCGTGTATTGTCCTGCCAGTGCTTCTCATGTTTCTAACTTCCTTTTGTGCCCCAGTCCAGCGAAGCTGAAAGCGGGCTAAGGCGGCGTCTACGGTGCTGGGCAACATGTTTCAGTACAGCAAGCTCCACAAAGACTACAAGCAGGTGAGACTGAACACTGGGTCTTGGATTCAGCCTGCACAGAAGTTGCCAGTGAAAATAAATTGTCATACAATGTCAGCATATTCATGTCGGCACTATTCATAACATGAATAGTATTGTAAAAGATTTTCTGCATAATACCTTTTTTAATGCAAGGGGTCCTGAATGTTACATCTGGAGCCAATGGCCTGTTACTCCATGTGATCTAATGTGCTTTGACAACTGAAGCCCAGAGATGGAGGGCGTACGTGTTGCAGATATGAGGACACTTTATTAAAAACACATGCATCTTCATCTGTGAATTGGTGACATAATGCTAAACATTGATTTAAACACAAGTAACAGTATTTATATGCTAAAATCTTTGACAAAATATTATTAAACTAGAATTCCGTAGTGCACATGTTGACTGATGTTTTTATGGTTATTGTCATATTTCTACCTTGGCCAGGTGGTTTTCATTTTGTCCCTTTGCTCATCTCTTAGTTCCTGCGAGGCATATCAGCCTGTTCCTCAGCTGGTCAGATATTTGCCTCGGACTTGTTACTGATTAACCTGTAGCAGCTTTCCCTTTTCAAACACACCGTACAAACCAAAGAAGCAAGTTTACACAAGTAGTTCATAAAATATGGCTCTGTTGACTCACTGAAGTGTCCCTACGTAATTTATTATAGATTTTAACTTTCCATTTTCTGTTTGTTTTAACATTTTGTGATTTGATTTTTTTATTTATTTTGGTAAAAAATAACTGTTGCAGCTATCTTTTTTTGGACATATAAACAAACATAAACGTTATAGAAGATATTCTGACAAAAACGTTGTCCTCTTTATGGAAGAATACTGAAGAAAGAACATTTTGTCATTGTGAGAACAAATTATAACTTTACAGTAGAAAAAAATACATAAATGTTGCACTGAGCAGTTTCCCCCCCATACTCTGTAGCTAAGTTTTCTAAACCGTGTGATCTGGCACATAATGGCCTTGGTTAGATAGGTGCTCTGTGTGGAATGTGACACTGGAATGCAGGGAGTTGCCAGTCATTGTTACACCCAGTCACTGCATATCAGTGCTGAGGCAGTATCTGTACACTTCATCAGCAGCCAACACCTTTCGTCTCAGTGTTGTGTAATGTCATCCTTCAATGTGATAGGGGCTTCATGGGCTGATGATAAAGAAGCATGCTGGTGAGACACAGTTAAAGATAAGCCACATGTCATTTTAACTCTATGAGTTCCCTTGTTGAAGTGAATGCCTGGATTAATACTGGCTGCTGTTTGTTGCAGATATTTTACTGGAGTAATGGACATTAAACTATGGAATTCCAAAAATGACTGATGTCACGAATGGGCTTCCTAAATCAAATTTAGAGTCATATGTAAAAGTTTGAACTTGAGTTATATTGTATGTTTTGTTGATTTTTCTAATTGAAAGTAAGTTAACAAATTCTCTGCAGGGAGTAAACTTAAATATGGCCTTTTTTTTGCAAATTTTAGTGCATAATTTCTGTTTATTTTCTGAGTTTAAATGGAGAAAATAAAGCAGGAAATCTCAAATGTGCCATAACTTTTGCACAAGTCATGATTCATGTTTTATTGTTTTTCTAATGTGTTAAATTCAGCAAATAAACAGTAATTGTGCACTAAATTTGCAGAAAAATACCCTATTTAAGTGTGTTCCCTGTAGAGACTGTGATGACTTTCACTTAGAAAATCTGCACAACATGTAATTTGACCTGGAGTTTTCAAACTTTCACATACACCTGTACAACTGAAAGCAAAAACTGTTAAAAAGTAAGTCACACATAGCTGATAATAAAAAATAAATAATGATAAATGTGTAAATACCAAGATATTTTTTATGATGCGCTTATTATTTTTAATTCTTCTTTTCTTTATTTTCCAGTCTTTCAATTCTAGCGCATGTTTAGCCAGTTACCTGTTTCTTGTTTTCCCCATGCAACATTTCCACATATATGATAATAAGTGGGGTGTGTCTTAGATTAAACTAGAGACGTTAAATTGTCACATGCAGTACTTTCTCACTCTCCCTTCATGTTCATTTCCTTTTTGCAGAAAGGGTTCACGAGGCGAGACTTCACCGACACAGCTATTTGAGACATCTCATCTCATTAGAAGAACGAAAAGGAAAAGAAACTTAACATGAACAACCCAGCAATCCACTTGAGTTCAGTGAAATGAGGAACATCCCGACGACTCGGAAGGAATGAAGGCTGAAGGGGGCTGACTTGAGTGCTTTTGGTTTCAGCCACTTTTCTAAATTTGATTGCTGTGGATTTCTAGGAAGACGGCTTTTTTTTTCATGGGAGTGCAACTGGATGGATATTTTGGATCAGCGCCATCTCAAATAGGGAATTATGTGCCTTAGCTCAAGTGATAGGACAGCGCAAACTGTTAACGGTCATAAATGCTTTTACTGACTCAAGTTAAACACACCCATCCATCACTACATTGCAGCATGGCAATGCCACAAATAGAAGATGTCATGTTGCACAAGTTTAAATCAATAGACCTAAATGAAGGTGTGTATGAATGCATGTACAGTACTGTGCAAAAACCATTCATTTACTTAAAATGATGCCTACTAAATATAAGTTGTTCATTTTTCAGGAGACATTTCTGTAAGATATAAGATAATGCACTTGCATAAAGAAGGGTAGAAGTCAAAGCAAAATAAGTGTAAAAAGCAGGAGTTTGCTCCTGGATGGAGTTAAAAGATACAGAGAAAATGGGACTCCTAACAACCATGCAAGGCCTGGTAGACCACCAAAACCACCATCAGATAAACAGCACTTAAAGCTTTTATTTTTGAGAGAAAATCAAGCTCCACTCTCTCTTGGTTCGTACCTGAAAAAAAACAGGTGTTTCTGTTCATCCTTCCACTGTAAGAAGACAACTCAAAACTATGAGTCTGAAAGGATGTGTAGCTGTCAGGAAGCTGTTACTGAGAAAAGGAAATAGATGAAAAAGAACAAAGAAGCTGCAGATATTCTCATAACAGTGCACTGACCACCCCAGGTCTCAGCATTGTATTATGACCAGTGCTGCAATTGCGGTAAACAATTGTTTTCTATGAAACAAGTCTGACTTCTTGGCCAAGAATACCAGCATATTCACTTGGTCACATAATTTTTGACCTTTTCTGGCGAGTGTGCCAGACTGCCAGTTAGTATTGGTTTTACACGGGTGTTTAGTTGCTTCTGATTAGTCCAAATCATCTACAGGCAGCTTACAAGCTCAGTGTTATTAGGTTGAATTTTCCCCACTTAAAACTTAAGACAACATTGTTGAGAATGTAACATATAATAAAAATTGCACTTGTCGTGATTTGAAAATTGAACTCTTTCAAAATTCAGCTCATCCTCCACAACATTGAATGTGTTTGGAGTTAGTTAAATGAGCCGCAGTTATCTTCTATAACTGAACTTTAAAGGTGTGAAAAAATACCCTTGCAGATTTTTTCATGAAAAGAATAGAAGCTATAATAAAGGCAAAGGGTGGACACTGCATAATTTGGTAATGTAGTTAGTTGTTGAGGCCTCTGTGTCGTTTTCTGTTAAATATGTTTTCTGATTCTTTTCCTGACTCTGAAAAATGAATAACTTAATGATGGATTTGACTGAAGGTGGTCTCTAATTTTTTGCACAGTGCTGTTTAGTATGGTTTAGTCTCCCAGAGAAGGAAGACATGCAACAAAATGTTAAAGCCCCTTACTGTGTCCCACCATTTATTCAACAAACTCGGGTTCCACCGTATTTTGAAAAATGGCTTTTATAGAGTTGAATAATATTTAAAAGATCATTGCTTTGAGGCACATTTCTGCTAAAACGGAGTCTGGAAGTGAGGATTTGTATAAGAAACATGTAAGATATGTATTTTTATATTTGTTTCTTACACTGTCTCCAAGAAGTCGTGTGTTTTATGTCTGGGATTGAATCCCATTTGTGCAGATGTACCGACTATGATTTTATGCCCTGAAGCTATGTTGAAGTTGGGGAGAAATTGGATGGTACGCTTGCAGTCTCTCTCTCCCCTTTGTGGAGTGACGTCCTGTAGGGCACTCACCTAGTCACGCGGTTAGGATTTTCTTCCAGTCGTGTTGGGGAGCTTGGCAATGTGTGACTAGCGTTTAAAAAAAGATCTGGTGCCCTTTACCCTCCTAGTACAGTCCTGCACTGAGGGGAGAGACATTGTGAATCAACACAACTAAATAGAAGACAAAATGAAGCTTATTTACTTTTAATGCTTGATCCATGAGCTTTGCTTTTCATGTAACATCCTGCGGGCTTTTGTGGTTGTTACATATTAATCAAAGACATTTTGAGTGTAAAACACTTTTTTTTTGTTATAAAAGACATTTTTTTTTTTTCCCAGATTACAATAACTTCCGCTACTATAGCATAGCATTAGCATCTGTAGCAGAACAGATTGACTGATGTGAAGAAGTATTTTCAGACTGGAGAGGTTCTGTGGCTTGAATAACACACAGACTAAAATCAAGCAATATTATTCATTGAAACAAATAAATGAAAAAGTATTTTGCATCACATTGCATTGGAATTGGTTTATAGTCCAATATAGGGAAGGGGAAAGTCAAGTGAAAAAACAGGTATTTCCAAAAAAACATCTAAAGTAAAAGATACAGAGGGAATCCTAACAACCGTGCAAGACCTGGTAGACCACCCAAGCTGTCATCATCAGATGAACAGTGCTTAAGCTCTCATCTTTGAGAGAGAGGAGAAAATCAAGCTCCACTCAATCTGAAAACATCCACAGATGTTTCTGTCCATCCTTCCACTGTGAGAAGACAACACTGTGGGTCTGAAAGTATGTGTAGCTGTCCAGAAGCCCTTACTGAGAAAAAAAAAAAAAACAACCTGCTGGCGTTCTCAGAATAATGGCCTGGCCACGCTAGAGTCCAGACCTCAACATAACTGAATGTGTGTGAGAGATGCAGAAATGCAATCAACTTCTAAGATTGAACGTGGAAAATATCCCTGCAGATTTCTTACTTTCTTTGTTTCTTGCTTTTTACAGATATTTTACTTAGTTGTTGAGGCTTCTGTGTAATTTTCTGTTAAATGTTTTGACATTGAACAATGAATCACAATGTCTCAAAACTGCCCAATGTAACAGGGTTACTGGTGGAAACCCTTGAAAGTCAACAAGCTCTTGCAGGAACCTTTAACCACCTTTCTGTCTTCCAACAAGCATCATATGTCAGCTGTCTTTAGAGAACCACTCTTTTTAGAAGGGTTTCGGGAGGCTCCCGTAAGGGACCTGCTTGCGTGGCGAGCTAAGGAACCTTAAAGAGAGTTTAATAGGAAATATAATAATTCTTTTTATCCATATCTTTTGATCAGTTTGAGAAATTTGTCCAGATATATGCTCAGGCAACAAAGTCCAGCTCAGTTGCGTAACGTTTTAAACTGTAAACCCAACTTTATGCAGCGACTCCAAAATAAGATCTCTACTGTTTCTCATTATGTTGATTGGGACTTTGAGGGCAGTGCATGGGTGGGTCAGCGAGCTCGGCCTTTTTCTGGTATCAGCCTCTTTGTTGTGAGTGCATTGTCTGTGGCGGTGTTTCTTAAACGCAGTAGGGAGTTTGTAAAGGTTGACGGGATACACATTTATCCTATCAGACAGTTCACTGACCCAAAGGACTTCCCTCTGCTTGGTCTCTGTGTTATGTGTATACATGCTTTTTTAGGCTAAAGGCTGAAAGACTGGGGTGTTTTGATAAGCTACAAGAAACCTCAGGAGAGGGAATGATTTGAGGAAAACAGCCCTGTACAAGTTAGTTTTCCAAACGAAAAAATGCTGACCTAAGGGTTTGGCCTGACCTCATCCCCATGCTTATTATTCTATCACTTGCAGGCCATTAAAAAAAAAGAAAAAACAAGATGTGGACAGAGAAGAGGGCTGTAGATCTTAATCAGAAATATACTGTCACAGGCTTGAGTACATTAGCTGGAAACTTTGTTTATCTCTTAATAACTGACAATATTACTGTCAAAATTCATTTTCAGACCCTCAGAATATACATAGCACTGGGCAGTATGGACAAAGATACCACACAGCAAGTATATATACATTCAAATCAAAGTAGTCCATCATCAATCTGACATGATTAAACAATTCCATGCATATTTTAGACCAAGATGCATTAAATGCATACATTTTTGATTCATTAAAAGGCTCACTGGCATACTGTAGCCTTGTGTAGCATCTGTACTGAAAAGCCTAATACTGCAACAAGTATTTGAGCATTTGTGCTTTGTGTTTCTATGAGGAAATAGGCATTTATTTTTAACAGGCCATTCCAAGACTGTCATTTCCTTTTTGGCGAAGTATTCTTTCAAAAGGCAGCTGGTGTGTTTCAGATTATCGTTTGAGCAGTTTCTTTGCAGACTTCTGCAGATTTGCATCCAAAATTCTTTTCTGTGCTCCTGAGTTCATTGACAGCATTGTTAAAGAAGAAGAAGAAGAAGAAAGAAAAAAGTGCTTTACAGAATTCTTCAGTTTTTTATTCAGTTTGCTACTGTGCTAAACATTTGGTTAAGAAGAGGAACCCATCCTCCTCTGGTTGACCCCGGTGAGGTTTGCACAGCGTTGTTCAGCATGAAGCTCAATGGTGGTCAAGCAGGTCCAGAGGGCTGGCGAGCAGTGGGCACCCGATCAAGGCAGGCGAGGCAACAGCATCAGACAGGATGGGTAGCTGTTCAACTCGGCAAAGAAAGGAAAACACAGAGAGTTAGTTCTGTAATGAGTGACTGATGACAGATTACAGTATTAACAGAGCAGCAGAGACTCCGTCAGGTCTGGATTTGACAGGGAAAACTAATTACCAAAGGCTTGACTATACAAGCAAGTTTTTAGCTTAGACCTAAACACTGAGGCTGTGTCTGAGTCCCGAACATTAACAGCAAAGATTATTCCAAAGCCGGGGGGCTTTGTATGAGAAAGCTCTCCCCCTAATGTAACTTTATTTATTCTAGGTACTAATAGTAAACCAGCACCTTGTGATCCAAGTAGGTGTGATGGTTCATAGTGGGAGAGAAGTTCACTCAGGTACTGAGGGGCGAGTCCGTTTAGAGCTTTAAAGGTTAGTAATAGAATTTTATAGTCAATGCAAAATTTAACTGGTAACCAGTGTAAGGTTGATAGAACTGGGCTGATATGGTCAAACTTTATGGTTCTTGTGAGGACTCTGGCTGCAGCGTTCTGGACTAGCTGAAGCTTGTTAAGGCTTTTGCTGGGACATCCAGACAGCAGGGCATTACAGTAGTCTAGCCTTGAAGTAAATGCATGAATTAACTTTTCTGCATCCTGTTGAGATAATGCATTTCTTAATTTAGCAATATTGCAGAGATGCAGGAAGGCTGTTCTAGTAATTTTAGTTATATGTGTGTTGAAGGACAGATCAGGGTCTATCATGACACCAAGATTTTTTACAGGTTAAAGCAAAGTTAAAACAAGAAAACTGGATTTTCTGCAGGACTTGGACTTGGCCTACACACATTTACACAATTTAGAGCGTACATAGTACATGATATGTTCTGAAGTATCCAGACATCCATTCTAATGAGTGAGTTCAGCTACTTTATGGTGCACCCACTGCAGAGTCAGGCAATTAGTTGCACACGTGTTTTATATAATCTCCATAGAGAAGCACTGATCAATACAATGGGACACTCTGGAGCAGCTGCACATGAGCCTAAGGTGCCCATGCACGATGGCAAACATCAGCTAAAGGGGTATAAAGCCCCCCCGCATTGGGCTGTGGAGCAGTGGAGCTGCATTCTCTGAAGTGATGGCACTCCATCCAGTACCTTTTTGGGATGTGTTGGAGTGATCCAGAACTAATCATACAACATCAGTACCTGACCTTAATAATGCTGTTGTGGCTGAATTCAATCAAGTCCTGACAGCAATGTTCCAACATCATGTCTAAAGCTTTTCCAGAAGAGAAGAAGCTGTTACTGCAGCAAAGGAAGGGGAAACTACGTATTAATACCCTTATTTCAGAAGAAACATTGGATGAGCAGCTGTCTGCACTCTCAGAAAAAAAGGTACAGAACTATCACTGGGGTAGTACCCCTCTTGTCACTGGGGTGGTAGCCTCAAGGGTACATCTAAGAACCTTTGGTCAGGGAACATAACTACCATAATCCATTGAAATTATATTTTCTGAGTCGTACTGACTCCACACACCTCATCTCGTCTCCAGGCTTTTCATTGTTCTGTTTTAAAACAGTAGGTTAAGAAAAGGTACAAATACTTTTTCACACGGAAAAGCTTATTTAAAGTTCACAATTAGACCTTAAAATCACTGTAGTACCTTTGAGGGTACATTTACATTGGTTGTATTGTGATGAATCAAAAATGTACCTGCACAGAACCTTTATTTCTAACAGTGTACAAACTTTTGGATATGTAGAGTAAGTGCTCAAACTTGCAGTGTTGAACAGAAGTCCAGTTGTTTTAAGGAAAGTTTATGGTCCTTCAGACAAAGGCTGTTAAACTGAGTGTAGCTTAAGTGAATGAAGTTGAAATGGGTACATGGGAGCAATTTATAGAACTGCGTTGGAGACAAAACACGGGTTTACAAGATGTAAATCAAAACCCCCAAATTCCATTATGAGGTCAGTTAACGCAGGCAGTCAGGCTGAGTTTAGGAGTTGAGATTACTTCAGAAAAGGTCATCACCTGACCCCAAAGACATTGACTTGGACATGCGGTTCAAGCAAAAACCACAAATTGGTGTGGAATATTTAATCACACTCCTCTGAAGGGATTTAAGGGTGAGAATAACCCTTTTAATGGTTTGAGAACCTTCACACAATGCAAAGGTTCTTTACCAATTTAAGAGTTGTTCCTATCTCATTTACAAAAATGATCCGCCTAAGAACCATCCATTGAAAGGTTCCTAAGGAAACCAAAAGTGGTACTTCAACTGCACTGGACAAAGAACCATTTTTGGCATCTTTAATTTAAGATTGTATGTGTTCTTTAAACTTTAAAGACATACTCAACACATCTCATTTACAAAAATTGTTCTATAAAGAATGATACATTCAAGGGCTCTTTAGGGAACCAGAAGTGTGATTGCTCCAAAGAATCCTTTTTGGCACATGCCTTTTTAGAAGATGGTTAGACTAGGTGGGTAGAAAAAAGTGACCACTGAGCTTTTTAATGAGAGACTATTACGTGTTGGAGACGTTTTACACAAACTACTGAAAATAAGCTTCTCCAGTCAACACTAAAACTGTTTTGCTGAGTATTTGGTTTGTGTGGAGCTCGCCAAGTATGTTTGTCTCAGTGAAAAAGCCCCACAAGCACCACATCTAGAAATATGTGCTCCAGCAAGGGAAAAAAAGAAACGAAAAATAAATAAATAAAGTACTCTGTGCCTTCTCTGGTCCTAGTTATACAGTTTCGTAACAGTTAAAGAAACAGTAGAAGAAAAATCTCAGTTGTCGTGCTGCTTGATATAAAATGCACACCTAACACACATACTATACATACAATGTAATCTGCACATAAGTGTATAAACTTATACATGCATTTGTAATCAGGGTGTAATGCTTGCCTGACTCATTCTCATTTCACCCACAGCAAGATGCAGAGGTAGTGAAACTGTCTTACTGTGCAAAAGTCAGAGATCAACCTTCATTTATTTAATTTCAAGTAAAAATGGCCTTTAAGAACAAGTTAATCATTTTTCATTTTAACTGTCAAATTACAAAGAACAACTCATGTTTTATCATTTAGTGTTTCCACACATCTTTATTACAGCTTCCATTCTTTTTGGGACACTTGCTTTCAGTTTTTTAAAGAATTCTGCAGGGATATTTTTCATGCCTCCAAAGTTCAGTCTTAGAAGTTTTCTGCTTTTTCTTGTAATCCCAAACACACTCAATGAGGTCTGGACTCTGGACTCAATCCCTTGTTCTGAGAACTTCAGCAGCGTCTTCGTTTGATTTGCCATTTTTCTTTTTTAGCGTTGAGTTGTCTTTTCACAGTGGATGGATGGACAAAAACACCTGTGGATTTTTTCAGAAAGAGTGGAGCTTGATTTTCTCCTCTTTCTCAAAGATGAGACCTTTAAGTGCTGTTTATCTGATGGTAGCAGTTTTGGTGGTCTACTAGGTCTTGCATGGTTGCTATGAGTCCTATTTCCTCTATATCTTTTAATAAATTTTTGAACTCCAAGTTTGGAAACGTGTTTTTTCACTTATTTTCCTTTGATTTTCCATTTCTATCTGTGGGTGGATTATTTTGTATCTAATCTCCTAAGAAATATATCCTGAAAGCTGAATAACATCTACTTTATGGCCATTTTCAGTGTAAACTAAAAAAAAAGGAGAGTTCTCTCTGACTTCTGCACAGTACAGCACATAGCTAGAATACATAGTAGGATTACACTATTAAAACCTTTTAATTGCGATTGGTTGGAATCTGGATTAACACTGTTGTAGAGCTGAGCTGAGCTGTGTTTGGCAGGGACACTGAGAGTGATTCAGACCTAATAAACTTTAATAACCTGCATTGGGAGCGTGTGAAAGAACATTTTTTGCTGCGTTCTTTGTTCAAATGTTCTAAAGGGAAACAGTGTTTCAAGTGACAAAGGAGTAACACCCAATCCAGCAGTAACCATGGAATTCAACAGCAGGACACAAATATTTCTTGCCTGTTTGGGGAAAACACTGTTTATGCACAACTGCAGTAACACTGACACCTTGTGGAGAGTGGAAAGTAAAGGGGTTCATAGCTTTATTGTGCAAATCCTTTGATGTAAACCCTTTAATGTGGATACACAGTTCTGCATCTGCATATACAGAGCGAGATGATAATATCAAAAATATTTTAGAAATATTTTCCAGCTGATACAAAGCTTTACAAACAACTAAGTTGCATTGAAACACAACCAATGTAAGTGTGTGACTTGCACATTACAATCAGCATCACAGTAAAATAGTTATTTCCTGGGCTGAGGTTTTAAAGTCAACATGAATCGGAAATCATTACACATTTTCCATCTGTTCGTAAGGCTACTGGTTTATGTAAGGCAACTTACATAAACCAACATAAGCATTTCTAAGGCTGCTTTTGTCAGTTTCAATGTCATATCGTCCCCTTGGAATTATAATGTTCTGTCGGCGTTCTGAGCAGTTTCGAGATACTGAGCTTCAAAGATTTTGCATTCCAATTGCAAAGCTGATACGTGGATGAATGAAAATGACAGACAAGATAAATTTATTCTAAATGTACATAATCAAAATCCTATCAAATCTGTTAATGAGTGTTTTTGGAACAGGTCAAATGCAGATAGGTCAATTTTAGGTAGGAACCATTAGTTTAAGTTTCCTTTAGGTTAGACAGCAACCAGCTACTGTAACAAACTGTCTCAGCAAGTAAGTGTAGCAGGTCAGTATAGAGGCAGTATGAGGTTTTTTGTATCAGAAATGTGACTCTCATGCACCAAAATGTCTTCATTTGGGAGAAAGAAGAAAAAGAAGAGATGGATAAATGAATGAAATTAATGTTTATGTTGTAATTAAGAGCCCATTGTAATTATTTATTATTAATTATTAGTTTATGTTGTAATTAAGACCTTTTTTGTTTTCTAGATAATGAGTCCAAAAATGTATACAACTTAAAAAAATAACACCTCACATAATGTTTAGATGTTGTCACAGAATAAGAATATATGACTAACTCAATTTTGACAAAAATGTCAGATAGAAGCTCATAATTCCAAGAGGACAATTTCACCTCAGCAAGTGTTATAACAAGTGACACTCATTGGAAAAAGCGTTATTAAATGGCTATATTGTCATGAAAGGCTTATAGGGTTGTTATGTAGCCTTATGAACGTTGCCCTACAGTAAAGTGTTACCAAACCCTCCACTGAATGGCTCTTTGGGGAAACCAAATTGCTTTTCAGCTCAAAGAACCCTTTTTGATTCTATGGAGCTGTTTTGATTTCAGGTTGACTTTAAGACAAAATTCCCATGCAACAAGCAAACTTTTACATACTGATTTACCTTTCCACATTACATAATGCTTTTACACACTGTATTATAAGCAGATATAAAAAAGAATGTATACTGCATGTATAGCTGAGAGTATTATATAATAGGAAAATGATATCATCGCTTGAAATACCATATATTAAATGATTTCTCTGTAAAATTTTTAAAAGGATTTAAGTAATCTTATGAACTATTTCAAATGAATAGCTATAAAGACTGCCTTAAATCTGATTGTAAATCACAACCAAAACATTGTAAGAACAAGGCTATGTGCAGGTCTGCATGGAAACCTGTCAATGCAACAGAACAGAAGATTTTACATTTTCACAGTTCTTGTAATACAGCCATACAGTACAACCGTTATTTAATTCCACTTAAACAAGCTCAATGTCCCTTCATGTGTGCACAATAAAACGACACTTCCAGAGTAAAAAGTAAAACTGTAAATGGCAAACTGAGCTGAGATCCAGTAAGGCACTAGCATGGCACATTACACAAAGCATGAAGAAAAGAAATCCATTGCTGGTCTCTTAGTCTTTAATGCTGCCTTACTGCCACCATGTGGAGGCAATATGCACAGCATCCTCAACGGAATAGTTCCAGACCAACTTTACCAGTGTTGACGAGCTTAGCATCTGTCCATCGAATGAAGAGGTGATCTTCCCACTGTGCAGGCAATGACAGACATCAAAGCGTCTGCACTTGCTTACAGGAACAAAATACGAGGAAGATTATTCAAAGAGAATGGAAGTCTTCAGCTTGAGATACCATCGCTTCACAAGGAGCAGTGAAAACAAACACGTGAATATCTCCTATAAACCTATCAAATCACTGTGCAAGCCATAGCAGGCCACAAAGCATACATGAAGCAGCCACAGTAGCCCCGTCTGCTCCCCTTTAAACTCCAAATTACTGCACCTAAAGTTCATTATTGAGTGTCCAGCGAAAAGAAGAAAAAAAGCCAACCTTCACTGTGGCCTTAAAATAATAATAATTTTAAAATGTCTTAAAAGGATCTGAAATTTTTTTTAAACCACACTGTAAAAGTTCAAATGTAAAACAAGTCAATATACGAATAGAAATGACAAAACATGGCCAAAACGTTCCAACGTCCAGTCAAGCTGTAATTTATGGCTTAAATTCACTTCTCTCATCGCCCCATCACTTGTCTGGACACACCCAGTCTCTGTGTATATACAGTCCATGCTTGAGTTTGAGAGCTGTCAAATTAGTCCTTCATTGATTAAACATCTGTGGACCTGCTGTCATATCTCGCACTCATTTCCCTAAAACAATAAAAGGGAAACATCCATTAAATGTCATGGCAGAAAGAAAACAATACAAGTAAGAAAAGTCCCAAATAACACTACTTCAAGTGCTCACCACAGTTCCTCTTTCAGCCTGCGCAGTTTATCATGTAGCCTGACGTTCTTCACTCGGATGGGGTTATCAGGCACAAACCAGGCAACGATGAACTTGCATATCACCACAACATGCTGTAGAGGAGACAGAGTAATGACTTGTACTGATCAGCCACAATATTTTCAAATTTAAGGGATTCAAAGTGTTGAATAAAAGCTAGCAGGGAACGTTTCGCATGATCCCATTTGGATAATGCTAGCAGACCCCTTCTAGCTTTCATTCATTACTGGCATTATTTGTGTGACTCAAGTGTGTGAAAAAGAAAAAAACACATAGTATAATGAAAAAGACCACCAGCAGGAACACTGAGAAAACCACACACTGGCATTCACAAGTCTAACTGACATACCTCAAACAAGATAACAAAGGCAAACCGGGCAGCCAGTATGAGCCAGTACTGTGAGGTGTAACTGTGGTCCTCCTCACTGCGGTAGTCCTTGTAGCTGGAGAATGACAAAAGTGTATTTATAGAAGCCAAGCAAGCAAGCTCTTCTTCACCTAGTGCTAATTCCATTGTAACATTATATCCTTAGTCCATTAGAAGAACAATCAGGCATTTTTCAACCGATTTTTTGTCTGCCACATCTGTAGCCATGGGCACCAACTTAAACTAAACCTTGACATCGACATTGGGACTGAGGCATTGTTTTACAACAGTTTTAAAGGTTTTGGTTTAAAGTGTACTTTTAAAAAGTATATATATACGGTACATGCAGAGTGTTGTAAGGCAAAATAGTCCATAAAAAATTCTTTTAAAAATTCCCTACTATTTTACTATTATCAGCTTCACATAAACATTCAGAAGACACATATAGGTTCACCAGTCCTTTTGGACAGTAAATAACATGGCTATATTGCTGTTGTAGAGATCTCCACTTCTGGTTCCTGTCACCATCACTTTAAAAAGAGTTGGTACATTTCTATGCATTGAATCATTCACATCGAACCACTCTGAATGACTTTGTTTACTTTACAACCGCTGAATTATATAGAAATTCTGAAAATCCAGTGGAATTCCCCTTTACAGGCAATTTCACTATTGTGGCTATTATCACACTGTTCTGTACACTTTCACTACTGTGGCTTTTTGTGTTAGCACTGGGGGCACTACCCCTCAAAATTCAGCTTTCGGGTCAATAGGTTTTCTGTTCTTTTCAAAGGGCTATCTGTGTTAAACTGGCTTGGATAGGATGCTACAGTTGTAGCAGATAGAGATTCTGTTGAAAAACATGAGAATATTCCTTTAATGTGGACACAGGTTTTATTGGCCTTTGCAGTTACTGGGAAAAGATGAGTGAAATGTAACTAATTTGTCTCAGACAGTGAAATATGGCACATGCATGATTTAACACATCATTTAACAGTTTTATCTGTTCATGTAAAAGAAGTAACCCCATTCATTTATGCAAGTAACCCCATTCATTTACAGAAGTAACCCCACATTCATTTATGCAGACTCCTACCTGCACTGAGTGACATTGAACCCATTTAACGTCATCTGATCTTCGAAGTCTTGCCGCACTTTTTCATCTGACATATATGCAGTGCTGAGGGTGTAGTTAATGTAGCCAGCCATACACCTGATAGAAATAGCTAAATTACTCAACAGCTCTCTTAAACACAACTGGAGACAGTCAGCAACAATGGTCACGTTCTGGCTTTGATAAGAAGCCAAATTAGCCTTTTATCTTTTAAAGGTAAACTCAGCTAAGAACACTTTATGGGGTTTGTTTTACATATCCATTCCAATCATCCTATTGCAGATTAAATAGAAGCACTGTACATTTAATGACATATTGTGAGGAGTGTCAGCAGATGGCAGCAAAAACAAAAGCAGAAATAGGTCAATGAATGGGTACTGACTGCAGGTCAGTGGATGACCCATAGGCACATGGTCCGTAACGGTAGCGGTAAACCAGGCGGGGGACAAATTCAGAAGAGATGCCGATCACTAGTCCATTAGCAATGACGGCCATCACCCCAATCGCCTCTAATATTTTGGTCCACACACCTGAACAAACACACAAGACAATATCAGCAAAGTCTGAATGAATTTGCAACACCTACTGAAATGTAACTACACAGTTAGTGAAATGAAATTACATGGTGAGTTACGTTTCCCCCTAACCATCTAACACTGCTGCGCATTGAATTGACATAACATGACTGGCAACTTCATCAAAATACCACATGCAAACCAGTAAGCTTTTTATATATGGCAGTAGTAGCCTACAATTTGAGTAGCTGGTGATGTTATATAACAGTGCTGAAGGACAGATTTAGGTCTACTTTAAGCAATGTAAATTCAACATAAAGGAGTGTTAGTTTGCTTGCAGCACTGATGTAGCAATTTTCACATTTCAACTCTTTAACAACCTCTTAATTCAGAGGATCCAGTGTAATTGAAGGGGAAATGTATGTAGCACAAAATATACCGGCTTATGTGACATTGTGTTTACCCCACAGCGTGATGGCACCATTAAGTTTTCAAACAGAGAAGAGCGGCTTACACCCAGAGTTCCTTGTTTGGGCTTATCCCGATTTCAGTGGTCTATTTACATGCAATTTACATTCTTTATCGATGCTCTCAAGTCTTTTCCATGGCTGTAGGCTTACTTTTTAGATGACAGTAGTGTAGTTTAATTTTGAACGTTTTATTATTCAAAAATAACCAATGGAAATCATTAGGTTTTTGTATCGGATGAGTAATAGAAGCTGCCTCTTCAGAGGACCTAATGAGCTAACGCTATCTGGTACAATGCTGGATGCTGTTAAGGACCACTCATCTTCACAAGGTCTCTTCCTTTCAGAGGACGACGTGGTTCATGCTACTTTGTCAGAGAAATATATTTCCACTCTTTCTGGACCAGGTTAACATCAGCTAGAGTAGTCAGCCTGGTTAGTGTAAAAGCAGCCTCTCTTGAGGCACAGTGGTCACTGTGAGAAGCCACTTTGTTTTTTCAATTTGCATTAGTGTTTAAATAGGGAACCTTCACATTTTCTGAAAATTTTTAATGTTGTTCTTGACAGTTAAAAAAGTAGCACACAGGAAGTGATGTAAGAACTGTAGTTTTTCTGCAAAGCTGGGTTTGCGTGGTTGCTGGAGGAGCCTGTCCAAAACTGCTTACCAGGTGATCCAAGTTGGTTTTGCATGTATGGTTGTAGTTTTTAATTGTAGATAACATGCTATAGAATGAGAATTTACAAAATAACAATTAAAATAACTAACATATTGATTTTATAAGGCTAAAATGTGGTGGTTTTGCCTAGTAACCACTGTGAATATAAGTGAAGTAGATGGTCACATGGCTAAAAATTGGTTTCCCACAGTAACCACAGTGCATTTAGGGCAAACACATAATCACATGGAGAAATGGTGAAAGACGTTGTGCCTATAGTAGAACATTGTGTTTAATTGTTTGTTTATTCAAAACTAGAGATATTTCACAGAGCTAATTTGATTTATATTTTATATCATAGTGCACATCATGGAAAAACAAAAATGAGTGCTGAGGAGGTAGTAAGACTGTTGCTAGAGGCCATTCCATCAGATTCTTAATGTAGTGAGAGTGAGAGCAGTCAAAAGGATTATTGGGGAGATCAGGGCAGTTATGGAATCCAGGGAAATAAAAACGACAGAGGTAGTGAAAGTGACCAGGGCAATGACCCAGTTGTAAATGCACACATTCTGTAGAGCAAGCAGTTTCCGAATGACAAGATGACCTTGAGGGACCTCCATTGCTATGTGGTAACAGGTTTAGTGAAGGCCAAGACTAATTCTAATAATTCTAATAAAGACTGAAGACTGTCAGCTGACAGAAGAGCACAGTTCCCACACTACAAACCATACATGTCAAGGGAGAAGCACAAATCTGAAGCTACTCATCTTCCTGTGTAAAGCACATCAAGACGATGTGCCGAGTGCAGCACTAAGAAGGGTTTGCATTGCACAAAATGGATGTGCACAGAATGCAACGTTGGGCTGTGCATCAGCCAGACAAAGAACTGATTTTATCTTTGGCACAAAAATTAAAACAAAACAATGAAATCAGAGAGCAAGCTGAGTATTACATGAAAAATGTTAATGACATAGTCAGCGTGCCACTTAGTGCACAGCGGTTACTCAGAGAAACCACCTCAGAAATGACCTTTGACCCTGAACCTAAAAATTCTCACCCAAAATGAGAGACTATATACTATTTTAGTATAAAGGTTTGTAACTTGTTCTTATCAACAAATCTGGTACTCTGAAAGAAATTCTGTATGTGTGCCTGAACGGTTTAACAATGCACCCTTAGGCAACATGCTTACATTCAAGCACTGCTGTTTCATAGTATAATATACCTATTCATCATACTGTCACATTTTCTAGCCCATTTGAAACTTGGACAAATCAGCATTTTTTTTCAAAATAGTTAGCTTGTTAACATAATTTCTGTACTGGTTTCAATGAGATAAAAGTGGAATATAATACATTTTAACTTATACCATATATTTCATACATACATGATTGTCAACAATCAATTTCTTCAAATATTTCAATGATTGCATCTCTTAACTGGATACTGTATGTGCAGGCATACAATCATGGCTCACCAATATCATTAGTTTTCTTTGGCACTAGACGTCGCTCCAGACGCAGCATCTTGATGGCATCTAGTCGGATCTCAAATATGTTGTTAATCAATGCCAGTAATGGAGCCAGGGGAAAAGCGGCCACAAAGATGGTGGTGAAACTGAACTGTATCACTGCAGAGAGAAGAGAAAGCATTATGAGTGCAAAGTAGAGCTCAGCCCAAAACGTAGACCAAACAACATAATCTAGATTGTTCACAGAAGGGCTGAGCAGGTGTTTTTTTTAGAAGCTGAAGGTGACCTCTGTATAAATGGGTTACAGAAGATAGAAAACTAGAAAGACTGTAGAGTGCTGTTCAAACACACCCACCCATTTCCAGGAATTCATTAAACAGGCTGAAGGCATTAACAGTATTGAGATGGTAGTTCCTCAGCCAATCACGGAGATTGCAGATGTCACATGGCTCGATTTCAGCACCGTCCTCTCGACACGCCTTCCGGTAACAGTTCCCGCACTTCCTGAGCTGCTTATTAAATGCTGTTCGCTTCACACAAAGCTTAAGCCAACTAGGGTGAAATTGGGTGGAATAAGAGAGGAAGTTAAATCTAAGAAGTAAAACTGATCAATTCCCACATTTCTATATAAATTGTGAATAATGACAACCAATAAGGTAACACTTTACTTGAACCTTGCAGTGTAAGATTGACATAACCATGCCATAAACATCTGAGATAGATGTCATATGCTGTCATAAGTCGTCATTAGCAATTGTCATGACATAATGTTTGATGTCACATGCTAATTTCTGCTCTAGAGTTCTTTAGTTATATACACTGTTATATTACATACATAGACGTAATCAGTCATAACTCATGACCGGTTATGACATCTACATGACATGTTTATGGCATGGATATGTCAATGTTATGTAGCAGGGTTACAGTGTAGTAAAGTGTTACCACAAATACTAAGAATGTTGTAACAATGTACTGCATGACACACTGCCAATTTGCATTTGCATTTTCCACACAATATGTTGCTATACAGCAGGTCACTGCATGTTTCCAGGAATTCAGTTAAGCAAATAATTGTTAATTAATGCACTTACGGCCCAGCGAACTCAAAAATGTTGCTGAGGGTTTGTTTGAGGGCCAGAATGATGGCCATTTGGATGAAGAGGTCAGTAAGGCAGCCGCTGGGGTGGCACTGGAACAGATAAATTACTTCAGCCACAAGCAGAGTCAGATATACTATTGGTGCACATATGTCAGGGACAACTATAATCTACAACATACCAACATATATTTTATACAGGAGAGAAACTTACTTATTTTACATACATAAAATATATAAATCTTACCTCCTCCAGTCTCCATTTATCTGCTATTTTCACATAGTTTCCTGGGTAGCCATTAATCCTGAACAAAAACAAGTGCTTACTTAGAAGTACATGCAGTGCTGTCTGTCACATAAACAACGGCCAGATCATATACTGGTAGGCGTGAATAAATGCATTAGTGCAACACGATGCATTGATATGAAGGTGCTGATTCAACTGCACTGATGTTGTAATGCATCTTGTATGAAGAAATCAAATTTGGGATAGATTGTAATTGATTTCGATTATTATAATTGATTCTATTAATGTTCAATAAAGCATTATGTTAATATTAGAGATGCACTGATACCACTTTTTCCCCTTCCGTTGCCAATAGCGATACCTGATCCTTAAGTACTGGCCAATACCGAGTACTGTCACTAACTCCATCTAAACTCACTAACCTATAAGTCCTGATGTTTATAGAACTATATTTTTTTACATATTTTATTTTTTAAAAATCTATGTTCTGTGTTACAAATAAAACACACTTAGCTTGTCTAGATGGCATTTACTTGTTTCTTAAGAAAACTTATTTTTGTCTATAAACTGTATATATTTAGTATTTACTGCTATATAATTAGTAAAAAGAACCATGTTTAACAACTTAAGCTGGACGTATACTACACAACTTCTAAAATCTTAACAGATTTCTAAAACAGAGAGCATCAAAAACCTCACGTCAGTTTGTCGCAGAATTTCTTGTATTTTTGTCGTGAGGGTGCTCACACTAGACGACAAGGCAAAGAGACTAAATCTGTGCTTTTTTACTTGATGTTGTTTCTGTTTTGACAGACACATAGTTTGTTAGTGTGGACTTCAGCAGGTGCAGCGTAGCTCCACAGGAGGAATCAAGTCAGTGGAAGCAATAAAAAATTCTCCTGGCTATCACTGAGTTTCGAACTTGGCAAACCAACTCTCCGTATAACCCTACCCCTGAAGCCAGGGCTGAACCTCCTAGGGGGATGTAAATTCAGTTCATTTTTGCTTATGAGACCACTTATAACCACCGCTCTAGATTAAACATAGCGCATGCTTTATGCGCTGTCAAATCCTTGACAAATTCTGATCCTTTTGGCTTGCCATAAAATTGCTTCGTGGTGTCAGTCATAGGTATCATATCCCATCACCGACACCGATACTGTGTTTAAGTTCCAGTATCGGCGCCGATACCGATATAGTATTGGTGCAACAAAGTATTGGGATCCCAGGCGCATATATATATATATATATATATATATATATATCCCTGAGATGGACTGGCGACCTGTCCAGGGTGTATCCTGCCTTCTGCCCATATATAAGCATACAATGAAGGAATGATTTAAAATCAAGTATTCAAAATCAAATTGACTTCATTTACTCTACTGTCTACTGCACATTCACAATTTCTAGAAACAATTCAGACACTGGCAACTCTGATAAATCTGCTAATTAATTAGTAATCTGATTATTAATTAATACATGAAATCAGACATTCTTCACCTGCCCAGGAAGAACGCCACATAGATAAGAGAGGAGAAGAGAGTGAAAAACTGGAAGGTGAACATCTTCACTGTGAAGCTCCTCTCAGTGGCTGCAAACGAGCGAGTCTTTTCTGTAGGGTCAAACAAACAAAAAGCAAAACAAAATGCCATTCCAGATTACTAATGCATACTAGAGAAACAACAGAGAATGCTAAGTGTTGCACAGTGTTCAAATATAGTAACATCTTATCAAGCGAACCTGCTCACCTAGTACCTGAGAGCAGATTACACTACAAAAAACAATCCTCTGCTAAACACAGGACAGGTGTAGTTCAAGTGTAATATATGAGTGATTTCTTCATTCTTTGTACGTACCAATAGAACACAGCTTCAAGGCCACAAACCTGTTCACCTGAAAAGAGGTAAGAATGAGACAAAGTTAAACAGCACTCTACTGTCATTATACTAAAAGGTGTAATGATTTCATACACTATCACCGACATGCTGTCTCTTCAAAGGGTTTCTCATTTGACATCATTCGTGGAAACCACAAATGATCATATCAGAGTAAAGTGTCTCTCATTACGTTAAGTGTGCTGCTGATGAAATTTATAAATCCATATGATGTCTGGGGGCATCAAGGAGAAATCGGGAACCAAATTTTGTTCTTTTAAGTAACTCAGGACATCAACTACATTTTTAAAAAGGGAAATTCTTGTTACTTTTTTTTTACTGTATTTATGTTTATTTGTATTTATTCTAATGATATATGGTGATTGTACAAGCATAGATGCACTCACTGCTAACCTAAATGGTTTTAAATAATGAACTTACATTTAACACAAAATTACACAGACAAATAAGTATAACAAAGTATAACATCGTACCAAACATTAGTAATCTCTATAACAATTTTTTTTCAGTATTCAGCATACCTACTATTTGCCTTTATTAGAGCTTCTATTCTTTGCAGGAGACTTCAGTCTTAGAATTTGGTCTGCTTCTCCCAAGTAATACAAAACACATTCAGTAATGTTGGGGTCTGGACTCTGGGGTGGTCAGTCCATTGTTTTGAGAACACCAATAACTTCTTTGATCTTCTTTTTCTTTGATTTCCTTTTCTCAGAAAGGGCTTCTTGACAGCCACACATCCTTTCAGATGCATAGCGTAAAACATAGAGTTAGCTTGCACCGTGGAAAAATGGATTTGTTGGAGTTTGAATTTTTCCTAACTCTCAAAGTTGAAATCTTTGAGTGCTGTTTATCTGACAGTGACAAGTTTTGGTGGTCCACCAAGACTTGTTTGTCCCATTTTCTCTATATCTTTTAATAATTTTTGAACTCCAGTACTCCTGTTTTTTAATTTATTTTCCTTTGACATCCCTCTTCCTTATGCAAGTGGATTATTTTATTTCTTCAGACATATCTCTTGAAAATGAATCACTTGTACTTACTGGCTTTTTCGACTGGAAATTAAATAAATGAAAGGCGGTCTCTGACCTTTGCACAATACTGTATATAATTAGAGCTCCATAGAATCAAGACATTTTTAACAAACTCACGAATCTTGACCTCAGAATTGCAAAGCATGTAGAACCTGAAAATGTGCGTACTGTTACATGTAAACACATTCTTTAAAATAAATCACTGTGAAAAATGAGGCACTGCTGCTGCCTTGGTGAATATGGTCCCTGCTGGCTTTACTTACCTTAGTCATGATCAGTATGGTGAAGTAGTGCAGAACTGCCCCTAGTATCATTGCTAAAACACTGGCATTTTCTTGTAGGAACTCCCAGGAGCACTCTGACAGAAGCATTGTAGACACAAGCCGGCAGATGACCAGAGCATGGGTCAGGCCTATGATCACCACCAGCTACACACGGTGACAGACAGAGATACATTTACAAATTTGCTACAATCAGTAATTGCCAGTGCAGTAGAAAGAGGGAAAGAAACTAGATTTGAACAAAGGCTTATAGGTTACATGATGAAGGGTGACTGATTTATTACTCTCCATTTATCAGTAGCTCACCCACACACACTTACTCATCACTCTTTCACATTTTCATAAACAAAATCAACTGTTCATGTAATATCACAAATTCATTCTCTTACCACCAGTGTGACCAGAAGTAGAACAACAATGTTGTGCAAGTATGAGTGATTAAAGTCTTTGGGTTTACAGTGTGGGTCGTTTATAATCTCCAGGATCAGTTCCTCCTGTGGACACAACAAAGCAGCTAATTACTGGCATATACTGCTTATCTCTTATTTTAAAATGTAAAGAACATGATCTAATAAAGCTAAAAAATGTGTCGATTTTTGTTTCGAGGTAGAGGACTAATTTTAAAGAGCTTGCTAAATAATAATCCAAACTAAAAGTTGTAAAATGTTATATAAATGTAATACTTCATGGTTCATCTAAAACTGAAATCCATACAGCCATAAACCTCAGCAGGTTCTAACAAACGCACATATTTGCAGTATCACTTTTCAAAATGAGAGGTTCATTTTTAATACGCCCCCCCAAAAAAAAAAACAAAAAAACACTGAGTTATTAAAGACTCTGTGTCAGTATTATGTGATTTCCATTAAAGAATTTCATTAAATCAGTTAATGGTAAAAATCATGTAAGATAAAGTCTATATAGAACAGAGCATGTTTGGGCGTTTCACTGCTGCGTAAACTATTTGAACGTGTCTGTTTCTCATTATCTTTTTCATTATCATTAGCATTATTTGTTAATGATTAGATTCTGACACTTAACTGTAGACCTATTAAATCTTTTGCTATTTTTGGATAAAAATTTCTGCCTTCTTCTCTTTGGGCCAAAAACAAAAAGTGTGTTTTCTACTGTTTTTGGTCGAAATTCATCCCTTATAATAAGTCTATAGTTGTCTGGACTCTGTTCTGAATGTGTGTGTATACTCAGTCAGAAGCTATCACACTGCACCCAACAATAAAACAATAAAAGAGGTGGATTTTTTTTTAACAAAGCCTTTCTAGTTGCAAATTCAGTTCGGCTAGATGTGAGGTGGTTGGGTGTGATGGTAACAGGTTAAGGGGGGTAGATGGCCACTTTACAAAGGATTTGAGGTTTCAGATTGTATCCCTTCCAGTGTTTGCACTTTATACTAAATTCAAATAAATTTTACATTAAATTAAATTATATTAAATTACTTAAAAATCAGCTTTTGAGTAAAATGAGTAAAATGAACCAGATGTGTTAGAGCAGGAATAACATTGGATTTTGATAGCTGACTGCTTTCATGTAACATTGTTGCTACTGCTCAAAATCCTTGCATTGAATTTAATACATTCAAATATGTACACCATTTATACATGAATAAAATACACTGGATTCAGTTACTGCCAAAAGTAAGTCCACTGAAAAACAAAACAGTTTTTATGTCATTCATGTGGAAATTATGTTCACATTTAGATGAAGTAAGTTTAATGCATTTATTTCAGTACAGTAATGAATTGATTTAAATGAATAAATAAATAAATACACCACCTCATCCTCATTCCAGTCAAAAACGTTCCACTTTGAGACGTGTAAGGATCGATGCCTCTTCCACAGCTCCAGGAACAGCGTGGCTATTTTAAACAATTCATCGTTAACCATCTCATACAGTCTGCAAATATTTGCTTTAGAGAGAATGGAAGAACACAGGTGTGGAATATCACGTACCCCAAACAGCCATGAACATCGCAAAGGCCACAGTTCCTTCATTGTCAAACAGATGGCTCACCTGAACAATATGAGTGACATTACATAAAGATCTTCAATGATCTTCAAAGATCTTCATTCAACAGGCGTTGATAAAGCAATAAGGCCTGACACAAGGCCTGAATTACACTGCTTTTTCAGAATCAGAATCAGAATCAAGCTTTATTGGCCAGGTATGCTTACACATACAAGGAATTTGGCTTTGGTTACACACACTCACACCTGTAAACCTTGCATTGTGCAAAGTAAGTGTCTTACGTTAAAGTGCAGAGTGCAGCAGCAATAAAAAGATGTATAGTAGCAAAAAAGGGGATAAGTGAGGTAACAGTCAGATAAGTGGGGTAGTAAGGCAGGTAAGTGAGGTGCAGAAGAGGTAATCCCACAATTAAGGGATGTTAGGTACAAAGTAAATCCATGCTAAACCACTAAACCACTGTAATGCACAACACTGAGTGACTTATTGCTTTTAAAAAACAAAATATGATACACAATATTGTGCAAAAGTCAGAGAACATTTATTTGGCATTATTTATTATTTATTTAGTGTCCAGTCAAAACAGTTCAAATCATGAATTTGTCAGCTTCAGTGAAAAATCACAAAACATATGTTTAACAGAAAATGACTCAATAACTCCATATCAGATTTTCAGTATTTAGTGTACCCTTTTCTCTTTTTGGGAGACTTGCTTACAGTTTTTCAAAGAAATTTGCATGGATATTTTTGGAGTTTTTTTTCTTGTTTGTCTATTTATTTTTCTCAGTAACAGCTTCTGCTCAGCTACACATCTTTTCAGACTCATAGTGTTGAGTTGTCTTCTCACATGGAAGGATGGACAGAAACACCTTTGAATTTTTCAGAACTGAAGCAAGAGTGGAGCTCGATCTTCTCCTCTCTCCCAAATAAGAAAGCTTTAAGAACTGTTTATCTGATGGTGACAGTTTTGGTGTCTACCAGGTCTTGCTTGGCTATGAGTCCCAATTTCTCTATATCTTTATTAATCATATCCTTTTTTATTTTTTATTTATTTTCCTTTGACTTTTCCCTTCTCCTCAGAAATATCCTCAGAAATATCTTCGGAAAAAAGAATAACTTTCGTTTTGACTGGAAATTTAATATGGGTGGCCTCTGATATTTGCACAGTGTTGTATAAATTTATAATTAAAGATAATCACAATAAAAATTCTTCTGCCAAGCAAAGTAGTTTGTTGCTAAGCAACTTAACGGCCAATAATTATTCCCTGAACAGTGCAATGGTTTTTAATAACTTGGTGCAATAAAACAGGAGTTCAGCTGATGTGTGCATTCATGATGTGTGTGTGTATATTAATATTTCAGATTATAGAAACATAACTATTTAGTTTGTAATGCACATTAGGTTATATTATTCTCTTACCTTGGCGTAAGCACAAGTGTCAGACAGTTTCCACATCTGACAATGTTTGTAACATCTTGGGCACATTGTGACGTTGGACTCGCAGACTTCCTTTCTGCAGGTGCCAAAATAAGAACCAGGAAAAAGACACAACATTTAACCTCTGTCAATTTAGAACCAATTGCATTCTTAGACATGCACATAGCTGAAATCATTTTGAGTCACTCACATGAGGGGGTTTGTATTGAAGAAGGCCAAGCCATAAAGAAACACAATCACGCCGATGAGTGCTGCAGGGATCAGCAGGCGTGTGTACCAGCCCAGCCACAGAAAATATAACGCCACCTTCTCACCAAAATACTCCCTAAAACAAATACATACACTTAGCAAGACCATATAATATGTACAATAGGAACAGAAGTGGGACACACATTTTCCTTAAAAAAAAACAACAACAACAACAAACAAACAAACAAACAAAAAAAAACACTTCTCCAAAACACATTCTGTGAGAACATTTGTGAGTGAGATATAGGGTGGGGGTATTGCTAAGAAGGGCAACAGACCACACCTTTACCTGATATCGTTGACAGGTTGGTTAATGACATGTCTTAAAGCCCCCCAGTTTGCCCACCTTTTCTTCAGATATTTCTGCTGCCTCTTCTAAGATGCCAAAAAAGAAAATGAATAATAATATGTTCCATTCAAATAAATCAATAAAGGATTGAGACAAAATACCAACGGAAAAAAGGCAGTGGTCATCAGTCCCATCTCCAGAGTTAATTAAGATTAAAACATGCCAGTTAACAAAAAGACAGACAAACAAACAAACCAACAAAGGTTTACCTCATGGAGACAAAACAAGGTTTCAAATACATCTTGCCTCACAAGATCCCTCAGGCCCTCTGGAGAATAAAGAAAACGTCGTTAACTTGGGGACTCCAGCACCACCAGATCTCTGCTGAGTTCTAAAGATGGTTTTATGTTCGTGTTCTGAAACTAGAGACATTGCTGCCAATATAGGGTTGCCATGTCTTATTTGGTCCTGTTATATTTACCAAAACCTAAAAATGTTATTATGGTGTTCAAAATATCTGTTTCAGCAGGTTCATATGTAGGTAAGACTTGACGAAATCCGTAACTGAAATAATTCCTCTTAAGCTTCCCAAATTAATATAAAATTATACAGTACTGTGCAAAGGTCAGAGATCACACTTCATCTATTTAATTTTCCATCAAAACAGCTATTAAGTACAAGTTATTCATTTTTCAGCATCAGGAAAAAAAGCTGAAAACATACATTTAACAGAAGCTATACAGAAGCCTCGTTCTTGCTTTCAATTTTTTTCCATTTCCACACCTCAGTTCAATCTTAGAAGTTGGTTGAATTTTCTGCCTTTAATGATCCAATGTTTTTGTCTATTTTCTTTTTCTCACCTTCTTAACAGCAACGGAAAGCAAGAGTGGAGCTTGATTTTCTCCTGTTTCTCAAAGATGAAAGCTTTAAGTACTCTTGGTACTGGTGACAGCTTTGGTGGTCTACTGGGTCTTGCATGGATGTTTGGAGTCCCACTTTCTCTATATCTTTTAATATTTTTTTGAACACCGGCCTTAAAAACTGCTGTTTTGTCACCAATTTTTCTTTGTACTACCTGTATTCAATGTAGTTTAATGTTGAAGAAGTAGGTTTCTGTGTAAATTTCTGTTAAATATATTTTTCTGCTTTTTTCTTGATGCTGAATGTATATAGTCAGTGTCAAAAGAAAATCTCTGAAATGGTAATTTTAGGAAATGTAAAGACATAGTTTACCTTCACTATACAACAATATAACAAGATTTTCTTCTAAATAATTTTGGACTATGTACTAAAATGTTCACACAACTCAAAGGGCAGCTTTTTTTAAAAAATAAAAACACAAAAAAAACAAAAACGTTTAGGCAAGACAGAATTAGATCTATTAACATTGTGGAGACCCTAGTTTTGGCATAGGAACAATAACAGTTGGCTTCAAACCACAGCAATATAAGAATAGATATGTTACATATGCATGAACCTTTGCAGGGTTTTCTATTGCTATACTCAAAGATACTCTCAAGTAAGAAATTATATGCACCCTTGATTGGGGCTTTAGGTACATTATACAGTATTAAGTGCACTCTTCATTTAGCTGCTGCTTGGTTTCAAGTGAAAACTCAAGAGAGAGTGTCAGTGTCAGGGCAGTGCGTTTGTGTATCATATAAAGAACGAAACAGCATGGCATTGGAAATAAGCAGTGGTGGGGGGTTCACTCACCTCCTGTCCCAATGAATGTGTGGTGCAAGATGAAATGGACAATCCTGATTCTGCAGAAATTGAAATCAATATGATGAGATAGCATACAGATAACATTCAACACCTGTATGAAGTGAATGCTTGTGTATTTTTAAAATATTTTAAAAAAATACATAAAACTAGACTAAGGGAATACAGCAAAAGTATGGACAGAGATCCTTGCTCACCTGATGGTATCTGGGACACAGTCTTTCTGTTTGGAGACCCAGTTACAAGAATCAGACACCTTCAGCAGATACTTATACTTCTCAAAGATCTCCTCAGGGGCACGGACACCATAGAATACCTTGTTTTCGTGGATGATTTGCTGTTATAAATGCAACACAGAGTGAGGACAAGCGCACAAATTATGGGCAACAATGTGATAAATACTAAATGCTCTAGTGCAGGGCTGTCACTGTAGATTACATTATTAATCCAATGGATTACTTTGAAGGTCATGCAAGTACGTTTAACTGGACAATAACAAATCAAGCAGAGCCTTAAAGGTTCTGAAATACTTTCATGGAAAAAACAGACACACAGAAAGCCTTAACGCTTTTTCACAGTGGCCATAAAATGCAATTTCTGACTGTTTTGTTTGGAGGACCCTCAACTGAAGTGTGCATTTTTTCCCTCAATAATGTTGACGGAATATGTTTCGATGGACATGTGAATGATTTACAAAACTGTTAGCAAACTGTGCATGATTTTCTGACATCAGGAAAGCTGCAGTTGTGTTGTCTGTTTTATCTTGGCACAGCTGTCTTCTTGGTTAGTGCACCCTGCGCCCGACCCCTGGGCCTTAATGATGGGCGCAAGAGCCAGTGGGAAGGTGGGGCCTGAATCCCAAACATCGCCGAGGGATGCAAGTGACGGCAGGATGTCAGCCAGCAAAGCTGAGACGACAGCAATGACAGCCATGAGAGGCTTGAAGGCGGAGTTTGGGAATCGCTTCCTGGTGTTCGGGATTCGGGCCCCACCTTCTCGCTGGCTCTCGTGGCTGTCATTGGGGCCCAGGGGATGGGCGCATGGTACGGAGAGATATGAGCTGTTTTCACATCAGTGGGCTCTCACCCCTCCCCTTTAACTCATCATTGCTCACTAGCAGCTCAACACATATATTTCTTTCAATTACATTAATCATTGATTATTACTACAGAGCTTAAAGAAAGAGGCTCCAAAGACCTATTTAAAAAAATATATATGTATATACACACACACACACACACACACACACACACTATGTGACCCAAAATCAATATTAATCGTTGTGTCTATAAGACAGACCAGTACAACAATATAAAATATGCATTATCTTTCTGCAAATTAAGTACTGCCAATTCATCAAAAATGTACATTTTAATTGGTTATTTTGTTAATTTGAACAACTACATTTAATCCTTTATTAATGTAATAGCTTAATGAGTTTAATTATGTAAGCTCAGTGCTCCTTTAATGGAATGCACTTTTTGTCACCTGTAGCTAAAATGACCAAAAACTCACCGACACTTTTAGGTTCTTTGATTTCAGCATGTTGATGTAGGCCTCCTGCTTCTTGAATTTCTGATCTCCCTCATCTTCAATTATATGTGCGACCAGGATGCAGTCAAATGATCGAACCACAGGCTTATTAGAGGTGCTCTGAAAAAAAAGCAACAAGGAAAACAGTGGACACAAGACCTCATATCTGCCTGGCGTACTGTATTGATGTGAATATTCATAAATTACTGATGAAAATACAAAAAGGTCATTATCATCAAGTCGTTATCTTCATCTGTGGCTTGTGGAATTTATTTAGTATCATTTCTATGCCGCAGCTGGTTCACCCATGTCTGGTCACATTCTTGAAATGTGACTGTATGGTTAATTTATCTCTATGCATAGGTGCAAGTGGCTTTGGCTGCTGACAAAAAACGTAACTAAAATAAGGGAAGTGGTGACAGTGTCATGTACAGTGCATGTTGGGGGGAAATCTCGGTTCACAGCTGACTGTGAGTCTTATGAGAATCATATGATTGTGTGGTAGCATTAAAAACACTGTCAGTCTAACCAAAGTGTTTGCATTTACATTTTGGGCCCTGAGCAAATATAGAAGCAGACATATTATTTGCAGTATTTCCTTTCCCCTCTTATTCTTTTCTTGGCTTCTGGACTTAACTTTGCTTTTCATGTGTGCTTTTCTATGAGCAGCAGTCACAATGAAAAATGTTAACTATGTCAATATAGTAAAAGTACAGACTACATCACTTGTGGCCCAACATCAGGGGAGCAAGCAGAGGTGGGGAAGGGCCTCCAAGATTCTAGGGATGCAAAATTCAGTCTTAAGCTCTCAAGCTATTTGCTATTTGGTAATATTCATTTAAACTTGCTACTTTGAGCTTTTTAAACTGCACATCAAAGCACATTTTTTAGTCCAGACCTCTTCAGGGACCCAGCCACCTAGAATGATGCACCAGAATGATCAGTTCTACTAGTATTATTACCCACCTGTACTTTGCAAGGCATTTAAAAGATTGCAATTTCATGCACATGAAGAAAAACAATTTCTGTCTAGTAGTTTGTTTCTTACCGTTGCTGGTAGCAAGGCCTCTCTGCCATTATCCATGCTCTCCTTGCTCCTCACCCGCAGCTCCAACTCATCCTATGGCACATTGAAAGCCAATTAAACACTTGTCTAATTTTTTATAATTTTGATAAGAGTGTCATAAAAGCTTTAGAGAAAGAAGTACTAATCTTTTTTAATTTTTACACAATCTGAAAACACTGCCTTCATTTTTTAAACATTTCAAAACAAATTGATCAACAGAACTCTTCAAAAGCAAACAATAGTTTTTTATTTATGTATTTTTAGGTCACACTAACAGATGCACAGGTTGAAAACATGTTTACGTTTCCATTTCAGAGATACAAAGTTCCATTTTTTTCTTTTTTATGACTACAATGTTTTATTCAAGTAGCAATATTACTCTGATGACACGTTCATAAAACAGTGAAGACAGAGAAGTCATTATTCGAGCTTTCTGTTTCTAACCACACTCATCCACAACAGTCAGTAGGACGTGCTTTTAATGGCCATGCTAATCAAATTTAACTGTTTTATTGCGCACAAAATTGCCTCGCTCTCCATTTGGTGACCATAAAACTACTTTAGTATAATTATAATGCAAATGACTACTTTCTCCTCCTTGCTGGTCTAGAAACGGGGAAAAAAATAAGAGGATTCTGCTTTCAGGTTTGTGATTAAAAAATACAGTACATACAAAAGTCTGTATTTGGACATTTGTGCCATTCTTTATGTATTAAGTTTACTGTATTAGGTAACAAAAATGTCAAATCAAGTGGCATTTATTTTGAACAGACCAAGTAGGGGTGAGCGATATGGCCAAAATCACATCACAATATTTAAAGACATGCTCATGGAATTCTTCTCCAGGTCTTCTCCACACACAAGTGTCCACCATCAGTTTGATGTTGTGCTAAAAGTGTTTTTTTCACAAATAAATATCATTTTGTTCAATATTTTATGAAACAACCTAAGTGTCCAGATACTTTTTGTGTCCACTGTACATAAAAGGAAAATCAACTCGGTTGTTCTTTAAATCTGATAAGAGTAAAATAAGAGCGCTTCACGCAAATACAGTGCGTTACATGCAAACATATGTGATACGCGTGTGAATTGCTCTCCCCCTTATAGATAGGCAAATGCTCAGCCTTGCTAAGTGAGAGAGACTTGTCATTATGTGACAGTTGCAAACTGATACTGCCAACCATTTTTGTGCGCGTTGTCTGAACACATAGGCGTGGCTCTTTTGGTTCTTTGAAATGATAATGACCACATTAAAACATCCAACCGATCAGTGAGTGAAAGACCTGAACTACAGTGCTTTATATTAACCAAGGTGAAGGTAGAGGTGACGGCAGATGATGTTAACCTTTGCCTGTACACTGTAACACCTGAGACTATAAGGTGAGAAAGATTGTAAGATCTACAGTGACGGAAGAAGAATGATTATGCCGCCACTGGTGTAACATAAATACAGGCCCAGACATGACCCTATAACAGGGATTCCTCTGAGAAATGCTGTTCACGCTGAAAGCACGTGCTTGAGTCTGTTATACAGAGAAAGAGATAGACAGCGAAAGACAGAGAGAGAGGGAGTACGTCTAAAACCTTGTCTGCTTGTCTCTTCTTCCTTATGAAACCGTAACACAGAAACTCTGAGTGACACAAAATTCTCTAAACATAACCTGTCTAACCAGCACCGAGTCAGTCTTCACCTGATTTTCTTTAATTTCCCTAACCAGAGAAGAAAAAAAAACAGCCCCAGGCAAGACACCTATTTTCTGCTGTGTTGGTAGCAACTAGGTCAATGACAAAGAAGATATTTCAAAATGATATTTTTATGAATTCAAATAAAAAAAGCCAGGTGGTGCAACCACACATTCATTAACAATCTTACATTTTAAAGTTATTTATGACTACTGAAAACATGTATAAACTAGTCTTTGAACTTTGACACATATATGAACTATTGTCCTTGACCTCAAGGTTATTCTGCTTTTATACAAATAAATAAAACATTATTGTAACTTTTTTTTTGTTTTGTTGTTTTGCTTGGGTCACACCACCTGACTTGGCAAACTGGATCAGTTTAACCACGACTCAAAAGCATAACCAGTTTCACCAACACTGAAGTGATGGATTTTTCTCTCATTTCTCCCCAGGCAAGATAAACAATTTCTGCTATGTTGGTAATAACTGGGCCAATGACAAATAAAGGATTTTGAAATTATATTTTCAGAAATTCTACATCTAAACTTTAAAAAGGACACAATGTGCATTTTTTGTTAGAATGTGCATTGTACCTGCTAGAATATATTTAATGAACTGATATATGTTTCATAGTTTAAACTGGTACAAATTCATAATTTTTAAATAATGATAATAATCAGTTTTACCACCTTGAAAATGTCAGGTAGTGCAACCACACATTCATTACAACTGATGTATTCTAAAGAACTGAGAATGTGTATAAACTAGTCTTTGTGCTTGGACACTTGTATGAATAATTGTCCTTGATCTCAAATGGTCTCCCAGCTATGGCACTGCACCCTGAAGATTACTTGGGATCTTCTTAATTATGCAATACTTACCTACAATTTCTTAAGCTCATTTCAGAATAAAAGTCCTTTGTTGTCAGTTGTCAGAAATCTGAATTTACATACAAAAGTTTTGCACTTAGACTAATACTTTTAAACTTGCCCTATTTTGCCACATATTATGATTTTAAAGGATTCAAACACAATCTGAATATGAACAGAAACATTCTGAAATGCATCATAGACCATGTTCAAAAATGTTATTCTAAATTTATATAAATTGGTGGTAATGGGTTTTTTATGTGTAACTTTATTGTATTACGAAGATCTGAAAATGTATTCACATGAAGAAGATCTTGTAGAATAATGTTATGTGTATATGAATATGAATAATGTTGTAATATGGATTTATTAAATCATTTCATAGGAAAGTAATGGATTTGGACACAAAAATGCATGTCATGTTATTGACCCAACTATTGCATGTCTGGATGTATAGCAGTACTCATGTTTAAGGTGAAAACACACAAAACACATAAAATACATAAAACGCAGAGCACCAATTGACGCAAAGGATGGTCAGGCAATCTCTTGGGAGCACACAACGGTCTGTTGTCGCAGTAGCCTACCTAAAACAATATTATTGACAGGCTTCAAAAACTGAACAATAAGCTTTTTAATAACATTTCCCAGTGAGTGGGGTTTAGGACTTGTACTTGCCTACAAATATATTTTACCACTGGATCACCTAATTACTTAAGATCTTTGCAACTGGTCGTGGACATTTGGATGCATGTTCACATGTTTAACAAGAAGCCCAGACATGTTTTATTAGTGTCGCAACACATTTTCACATAAAAATGCTCAATGTAATTAGTTAATGTAATGTATGAAGCATATTTTGGGTCAATTGGGGTCAGTTTTAGTACAGCTGACCCACACCTGTTATTTCAATCTTTCAATGCATAGAAAGACATGACTGATAGTGGAGTAATAATGCATTGCAACACTGTGATGTCGCTGTGACAGTGTGTGTTGTGGAGAACAGGCATTCCATTAATTATGGCATCAAATATAGTTGCATTGTTTACATTGTTTACAAACAGCATCAATCAATAACCCACTCTGTTAGGTTCACTATTAAGCTGTGTAACATCATCATTTTTCTTAATTCTAATTTACACCTCAGATACAGACTTACAAAATGCCATATTTTTAAACTGAAACTGTACTGTATAAATGATACATCTAAATATATTTAAATAAATACTGCCCTGATCTGTCACAACTCCATATTCCTCTTAAATTTAAATATATTAGAAGTCATCTGCCACAGCTAATGTGACAGACCATGCCCAAAAGTAGTGAAAATGTCCTTACCGCCATAGCCCAGTGTTGGAAAGACAAATTCCATTGGCTGTAAAGGTATACTCAAATTCAGATTTAAAACTTAAAAATTATATATCTTTGGTCAAATTACTTTTTTATAAAGTGAAAATGAAGGTTAACACATCCTCTATAGAGAACAGACTTACATATCTCAATTTTCTGAGCACAATTCATATTTATATGCTGAATTTAACATATTGGGGTTTTAATTATTGGGGTATTAAATATGCCAGAATTTTTGCACAAAGCACATTTTAAGTTTTATTTTTCACTCTAATATGTTCAAATTCAGCAAATTAACAGTAAGCGCACCATAAAATGTGTGTTCTCTGTGGAGGATGTGTTTGTTTTCACTTCTACACCTACTATACGGAATTTGACCAGGGGGTGCCTGAACTTTTGCCCGCAAAGGTAGCTCACTATATGTATTACAGACTCTGATAAATAAAATTATGTTTTGTTGACGTCTATTTTCAAATCATCTGGACAGCCAAAGTGCCCATAGAAACGCCCACTAATGAAAAACAGCCAACACAACACACAAATGGCAGTATAATGCGAATAAATAAATAAATAAATAAATAAATAGCCAATGTAAAGTTAGAACATAAACAATATATTATTATTTTTTAGTAAACTACATTATTTATGCATTATGTGTCTAGTAGTAGCAGTACTAGTATTATTGTTGTTATTAATTATTATTATTATTATTATTATTATTACTAAAGCACATCTGCACAAACTGATATTGATATAAGATGACAATAGAGTAATTGCAACATAAGCAATACATATGCTGACCTAAAGTTTGCCATCCTGTATAGAAAAGAGGCCATTATCATACCACAACAGCACATAACTCAGCCAGGTAAAATGGAACAAACATGTTTGCCAGCGAGCCAACAAGCCATAAACCAGCCTAGAAGACTGCTTCAGGTATCACTACGTCACGCCTGAGGACCTGAGATTACTTCACCCTCACGGGTAGAAGAAACACTCAGTTATACGAGATAATCTCTCTAATATTCCGTTGAGAATAACTGACTGGCAACTCTGAGCAAAGTGTCCTCCAGAGAACCGATGGCGTCTGAGCAGTTCGGTCAATCGACACCGCATTAAGCCGATACTCGTCTCCGGTCGTTCTCCAGTGAAACTGTAGCGCTACAGGTGGAGAAGCGGCGGCTCGAGTCTCGCGCCTTTCTCACTCGAGTCTCCCTGCAGCGAGTGAGCTGGGGGTCAAAGATGCGTTTCGACCACCGCATCCCTCTTCACAGAAATGCCGACTACTCGGGAACTCAAACCTGAGGGAGGCAACGAAAACAAGCTTGTGTCTCGCGCGTTCTCTTACCTCGCGCTCTTTGAAGAACATGGTGAGCTGTGAGAGACTCGCTCCGCTCCAGTCCAGGCGTGACGATCGGACACTGAGACGCTGGTTTCACTCCAGCACTGTCCTCGACATCACTGGTCAAATCACACGCAGGAACAAGCCTAAAAGAACTGAGCGGCTTCAGTAGGCGAACAGGTTGAGGAGCCGTCCACTTCCGCCTCTCCCCGCGGGAATCCCATGCGCAAAGGTATGCAAACGCCTACCTGTTGCTGGCCAGGAGATGTCAGACTCGTGAGTGAATTGGTCTTTTGAATCGACTCTCTTCAATAACTGAATCGGTCGAACAGATTCACCAGTCCACATATATTGAACCTATATTTGAAGACAAGTGGTTTCCGACTCCGGTCACCCCACACCCTGCATATTTTAGTGTTTTCCATACATCTTTTCCCACTAGATTCTATGAAGGGTCTATGGAAGCCCATTGCTGCTACTGGAGAAAACTACATAGCCATTTAGTAAGTCAAAATAACATATCATCTCATTGTTATGATTTGCTATCTCATAACAACGAGATTTTAGCTCATAGCTCATAGTTACTATCTCATAATAATAAGAGCATTTTCTTTATTTTCATTATGAGATAGAATCTCATTATTTTGAGATAGCAAGTCAAAATTATGAGATACTAAGTCATAATTATGAAACAGAATCTCATTAATATGAGACAGTAAGTCATAATAATGAGAATGGTTTCCATATTTATAACTTAGTATCTCATAATTATGACATAGCATCTGATTATTATGACTTGCTATCTCATAATAATGAGATTCTATCTCATAAAAATTACTTAATCCCATTATAATGAGCATTTTCTTATCATTGAGATAGGTTCTCATTATTTTGAGATAGCAAGCCATAACAATGAGACACTATGTCATAATTATGAGATGTTAAGTCATTATTATGGAAAACCTTCTCATTATTATGACTTACTAAATGGCTATATATATATATATATATATATATATATATATATATATATATATATATATATATATATATATATATATATATATATTTTATTTTATTTTATTTTTTTTCCCACTGTTGGAAACAGGCTTCCAAATAGGACTGACTGTTTGTCATGTGTGTTGGAACAAGGAAAACATCACAATATTCATGTCAGGGATAATCCTACACCATCAGGGTGGGGCACTATCAACACTGATTTTGCATAGAAATAGGGGAGTAAAGCTGTGGAGGGAGGGGGTGTGGCTGGGGTCTTGAGAATCTTTGCCAAAATGCTTGTTCCACAGAGGCAAACTTTACCTTAAAGCTACACAATGTAAGATTTGGGCATGTGGAGACCCCTTTGGAAGACATGTATAATGGCACACAACGTGCAGAAGAACATTTTGTAACATAGATTTTGCTTCAGAAAACTGAAGCTCGAAACTCATTCAAAACTTGGTGAAGGACATGTCTTCCAAGGATGTTAAATAATCATAACTACATCATTTTAATGTTGATTTTGCATTTGAGACTTTCTTTTTGAACCTCTGTGTGTGACAATGCGTGCATTTACATAGACTTAATAATCTGATCATAATTGGAAGTGGTCATGTAAACAGCACACTCCGATTCCTTGAATCAAATTAAGGGCGTTATTGGATTTTTAGAAATCCGATAAAGAGAGCTGGATTTTACCTCAGTATTGGGGTTTTTCAGTGTATGTATACCCTCACTCTGATTTCTTTCATTTTTCTCAGTCTGTGAATGTGTGAAAACAGCAAGCAGCATTTAAAGGAGCACCCACGAGACGGCAACAAAACACTTTTTAAGCGACACTGAAACCAACTACATGCTTGATGAAATGAATTTAAATGATCTTCATCTTCTAGATGATATATGTGCATATTTTCTGCTAAATTGACGATATTTTTTAAAAAAAAAGAGTTTTATATTAAGTTTATGCCATGTCTTCTTCTGTGAGTTTATCGGTGGGTTACAAAACAGAAATCCGATTACTGCCTCATAGAAACCTGGGGTTTTCCCATTATCTGACTACTCAAGTGCATGTAAACATGTTGAACAAATTACTGACAAAATCTAATTTTCTGCAGTTATCAGATTGTTAAGTGCGTGTAAACGCACCCATTAACACGTTAACACTATGATGTGGTCCAAAAAATTCCTTCGAAATTGACCCAACACCTCTGACTTTTAAATGAGACAGAGTGACTTGCAGAAGTTTGAAAGTCCAGAGAGGTCATGAGCTGTTGCTATAATTTTCTGGATTGTTATCACAAGAGAGTTATATCATGATCTCCAGTTAACAATCCAGAAAATTATTACCTCAAACCGAGTACCTCATGGCCACTCTGGACTTCTGTAACGAAGCGCAAAAACAGTGTTTCTCTAACAAAAGTTGTTTTCTTGAGATCATAACTTATCTTGAGATGGCAAGACAAGTAAGTTGTGATCTTAGGAAAACAACTTTTTTTTTAATCTTGTGATCTCAAGTAAACAACTTTTGTTATTGTGACATCACAAGACAATTAAGTCATGATCTCAAGATAACAGTCCAGAAAATTATAACTACCTCATGGTCTCGCTGGACATTTGTGTCAAAATCACTGAGTCTAACATGGCCACCCAATTGTAAACCTTCTCACTATGTCCCTGTTACACCCCTGCTAGACGCACTAGCTAGCTAGTTAATGCATCTAAATTAGCATTACTGAGCCAGGAGAAGAAAAAAATCACACAGTTCATGCACGGCTGTGAGTCACTCTGTCTCATTTAAAAGTCAGAGGCAACGTTTCGGATTTGCAGGAGTTTCTGTCATCTTGAGATCATAATTAAGTCTTATGAATTGGCCTCTCTGGACTTCTGTATTTTGGTGGGGTGGCAAACTACTTAACAGTTAACAACATTCTTCTGTGCTTCTGTTATGAACTCAATCGTAAGTGAAACAGATTTTCCTAAGATTTAGTGAAAAATAATGCTTGGATCATGTTCACTGCTGAACACTGTGTCATTGGTTTAAAATTGATGTAAAAATTGATTTTGGTGCTTTAGCTCTGCCTCCCTAATGTAGTCCAGTGTTAGCTGTTTCTTTAAGCAAATTCACTCATCTGTTTGCTCAGTTGTCTATCAGAGCAATGACAAGCTGATTACCAACTGCAGCATCATTCGACTCTTATGACTAATCAGTAACTGCGCTGATGACAGATATTCAGAGTAAAGTGTAAACATTCACAATTCACACATCACACAAAGTAGGCAGAACATTTTGTGTTGACTGCTTTATTAATGATGGCCGACTGTCTCTCTTTGCATAACTGTACAATTCTGGCCACCCCTTTGCTGTGTCCCTGGGGTGGAAAATACTTAAGCAGCATAATGTATTGTTTTAGAAGATCTGTACTTTAGTTGACAATGTAACACCACCAAAAAAAAGAGAAAATTCTGAATTATGTGTTAAAACATTTACATTTTACTTTTATACACTTTTTTAAATATTGGTATTTTTGGTTCCATGCTTACATATTTAATCAAGTAACAATCCTTTCCATTGAGTATAATTTCTCTGTACGTTTTTCATCTCTGGTAGCTAGCTTACTCTTTAGTTTAGCATTAGCAAGATGATAACTACCCTCACTTAATGCTGAGTTCTTCTTTTGTTGAACTGTTTGTGGCTGCTTAAGTGTTAGACAAAATAACTTATATGCTAAATTTAACCCACATTTATATTTTGTCTGTTTAGGGGACAGTTTTTCCCTAAGATTACATTCAAAAATTCAAAATGAGGCATTTTCATTGTTCTCACTTTCAAATGTAGAGTCTGATACAGGTCATTATCAGTATAGAGTGCAACACTGAGGCCTCATAACTTGGGGGAAAAAACAAAAAAAAAAAAACTTTTCTTTGAAAGTTCATCAGACTATTAATCAGACTGCAGAGCAAATAGGAACTCAATAACAAAAACACACGCCACCCCCCAAAAATGGAGATAAAAGGTTTTCTTCTGACAGCAGCGATATACAAGCACATCCTAGTACTGCAGTACTCGCTTGTATCTGTACTTACTTTCCATTGCACATCCTTTTACTTGCAGTTTGTTTGTGTTCTGTCTATTTCTTGTTTGCATAGTTTACCCCTTTCTATATTTATTGGATTTAATCTTATGTTGACAACTACACCAATTCATTGTACACAATTCAATGTACACCTGGTACTTGGTGAATAAAGATTAGTTTTCTGAAAAATATGAATATTCCCCACATTTTCGTCACTAATCAGTGAAGATATGGTAGATGTCCAAAGTTTGCTTCTTTAGTTTGGAAGCCACAAGGCTAATAGAACAGATGTCACTCTAAAAGATGAGGGTAGACTTATATTACTTGTGAGCTGGATTAGAGTCATTCCTTCAGTGCAAACAGTACAAGCCTAAAGAAGAAGAAGAAACAGAAGTAGAAGAACAAGAACAAGAAGAAACCTTCTTGAATATGTCTGAAGTATGCAGGGACTTTGTTGGATGAACCAGCCATCATTGTTCCAGATGATGTAGAGTGAAAGATCGAAATTGGCACCATGCAAGCTGTATTTTGTTCACTGAAAATAGCTCCTAATTGTCCTGTTCACAATATACTGACACATTCTTGAAATTACAGTGTCGCTTCTGCACAAGATGTTGAGGGGGTGTCTCATAAAACAAGATTTCTCAGTTCGAAAGCATAAGCCAAATGTGAGGACTGACCAACAGGAACAACCATTAGCGCTCCTCTTGTTGGGCAGTGCTTTTGGCTTAAGTTCTCTGCCCAATTGAGAAATCCTCCTATCTGAAATATACTGTATGCTACAAAAACCAATCTGTCATTACCTGTAAAGACTGCTGTAATGTAGTAACAAACAACACTGCAGCCTATACAAATAGGTATCTCCTCTTAAACCAGCTGCAGTGAGAGTTAAATTACAGTCCTACTTTACATGCATTACAAAGTGGCAGCTCAGGCAGGCAGCCATGCAAATCCTTTATCAGGCAAGGTGTTTTATTTCAACACCATCCAAATGTTAAGACAAATCTAAATTGTTTTCTTTTGGTTTTCAGACTGAAGGAATTTCAGATTAATCAAATTTATTTAAGGAAATGTTTGTAGACAATGAGACATATCCTCAGTACTTCACAGTTTTACAATATAACTATGAACACCATGAAAAATCCACAAAAATGCAGTTTACTCTCACCTCTGGTACTGCAATCATTTTTCATAATCAACAAATAACAAAATTATCAGTGCTCGATCTACCATAAGAGTTTTTATTTTGGAATAAGTGCTCCCTTGCACTATAACTATCTAAGGGATCCAGGATAAGATCTAAATATATTCGCACAAGACATCAGGCAGACATGTATGCACATATTGCTGACGTGAACACTAACATCTAGTCCTCATCCTCTTCTTCAACCACCTTGCGGAAGTTCTTGCGATTCACCTTCTTTCCACTGTTGAAGGCAACATTACTCGCCTTTCCTTGCTCCCCTTCGTCCTCTGGCGCCCTCTTCCTTTTCCTCTTCTCTTCTTCCACAGATGTGGACTTGTGATGAAGAGAGGCCACCTTTCTCCCTTCTTCATCCTCCTGGCCAGCATCCAGGTGGCCTAGACCAACCTCACTCTTCTTAGCTCGCTCTACCTTGTTTGCAGTTTTGCCTTCATCTTTGGACGCTTGACTAGGTCTGGTGAAGATGATCTTATGCTCAGAGCTACTGCTGTGGTCCTGGTTGAAGGCTGGGGTGAAAGGTTCTTCGGTGGCCTCCAGGGACCTCCTACGTTCCTGGAGCCCTCGTATGAACTCATGGGCCACTTGGCTGTTCTGTTTATCGCTGGTCTCAGGAACATCGTCCAGGCTGTAGCAGGTCCAGCGCTCAGGGTGAGCCAGGTAGTCTGGTATTCTCTTGGCTGAGGAAACTTTCTTTGTTCCTCCAAATTTCCTCTGAGCAGACTGTGGTGGTGATGGTGGAGCAGGCCGAGCGAACGTGCCGTCAAGGACGTTGTCATCAGCTAACTGATTTGAAGTGAGCTTTGCAGCGCTATCCAGCTGATCAAAGATGCTTCTACTGCGGTCAGTGAATCCAGAACTCCCACCACTCAATCTAAAAGTGGGCTTTTCTTGAGGGACTGCGTGACCATGCTTAGTATTCTCTTCTTCCTCAGAGGAAGAAGACAAGTCCTCAATCTTTCTGCTGAAGGTCTCTAAAGACTCTTCAGGGTCTGAGTCACTCAGAGAGAGATCATCAGGCACATCAACGGCATCTCTATTGGACAGGCTGTTGAGAGTATCATCCTGGCCCTTTGACTTACTCATAGTGTAGTTGTATGGGGGTCAACAAGGGTCAGCGCTGAAAGCAAAAAATCCCACAGCAAATAAGGGGACAAAGTATAAAAATTAGAAAGAATGTCACAACATAGCAGAAAACATTTAATGGATAATAGTGATATAACACACTGTTTTCTCTTAGCTTTCCTGAATGATGGCCATTTTAGAATCACAGCTACCCATATTGACCAGAATGTTTCAAAAGTACATAATGAAGTCTAATTAAACAGCTGTATTTAATTCTATGGCAAAATTATACCTAAACTAAACCACAATTTAGAAATCAGGATGAAAGAGTCAGGAACACTTACTTTTACTCAGGGGCACCAGAGGCACTTTCTATACGAATTCGGAGAAACAAGCAGATGTATCTTAACTCTGTGTAAATAAATAAACAAGCAAGCAAACAAACATACAAACTGTGTGAGTTCAAGGTTTGACATGAAAGGTTTCAGTAATGTTGGTGTGCAAGCTTGTATCTTACTGGGGTTGAAGACTCACAGGTTCTGCGAGATTTCCAGATCAGAAAAGACTAAACATTTCAGGGAAAAGTCATTAAGCCTCAGCACAGCCATTTCGTTCAGTTGTGGTGGGTCCCTCTGGGAAATAATGCGGTCCTCTGAGTTACCTGTCAAAAGAACCAACGAAGAAGGAACAAAACTATGGGTTAGTATCTTTACTCGCTTAGTTCACATGCATGCTAGCTAGAATTAAAAAAATCACAATGTGCATAATGTTTTGGTTACTAACACACTACCGAGCCACATGGGCAACACTCAAAATAATAAAAAAAAAATAACCATCGCTACACCTGTTGTAAACAGACAACAAGTCTCTTACGGCCGTGCCGCAGTATCAGCATAATTTACACGTTTAAAGGGTAACTCAACCGATTTTTCAAAATTTCTGCATAATGTTTAAAGTGTTCCTATCACCACCAGTGTGAAGAAATCTGATTCCATAAGTTATGTACAAATGAACCATCTCTCATCAAACCACACTGAATGACTTTGTTTATATCTCAGCCACTGAATTACAAAAACATTTTTAGAAATTGGTGGAATTCCCCTTCAAAGACTGGGAAAACCTCTTGAAAGTGGAATTAAATTTTTAGAGCAACTTAGCTAGATGCTTTGGCGTGGATACCTGTGGGCATGTTTTTTGAATTAATTTCGCTAACTGGCTTAATTATTCCTTTAAGAAAAGGCTCTGACGACCACTTAAGGTCAGTGCTTAATAATACTAGCCAGCATCACGTATGTATTTATTTATAGCTCCACCGGGATAGCCAATGAGCGTGTGACGTATTTGCATAATGCCTGCCGGGTATTGAGACGAAAACACGAACACGATACAACTGATTAGACTGAGGGAATATAAACCTACACAACATAATGCATAACATATTAAATGTCTGTTTTATGGCGGACTTTGCCGCTTTAAGTCAACATGCAAAATAACTGGCTAGTTAACCCACCTAGCAGAGCGGTAGGCTAGCAGCTAGCTAAGCTAAGCTAGCTAAGTGTCTACTACCTAACGACGTCTGGATAAACAATGAGGCAACCACAGCAGTCAGAACTGCCAGAGAACATGCAAAACTCGCACTTTATAGACAAATTATGTATATAAACCTGCATTACCCGAATACTGGGCGAGAAATTTCTCGAGCACGTAACAACTCCGCTTACCGTCTCCTTCGTCCTCTTCTTCTCCGTGCCAAGAAAAGCGCATACTGCTCTCTACTGTACGGAGCGGGGATCCGCTCCTCATGCGCGCGTAGTGCGTTTTCTATCCAGCAGGGGGAGACACTGTCCGTTCTGTAGATCCAGCCAGAGAGCACTTCCAGCTGTTTTACTCAGATATCACTTCTTAAGTCTTCATTAAGACGGCTTTTAAGACTGCTTTGGATTTAAGAGGTACACTGAGCAGATGGGATGGAAAGGCTAAACGATTTTATCCGGAACAGCATCTACTTTTAAATGTTATACGGCCATTTGGACCAATTTCTGCACTGGAATATAATTGAATTCCCAGCTAATTATAAGTGCATTTAGAAAATGTGATCAGTTTCTTGCTGTGCATGTTTTTCCAAGGCACGTAGTCTGCCTGCTTTTTTCATTTGAATGATACGATCTGGATATTAACTAGATTTGTGCTTTGAATGGTCAAATCTAGAAGATTTTAGGCCTAAAGTGGCCTAAGGCTCAGAGACATTACTGTGAAATGTATATAGAAAAACAAAGAAAGACTGATAGCACTTGTACACTAGGCTTTGACTACAGGCGCACTGGGAAATAAACAAAGCAGATCTGTTTCAGGCCTCCTCAGCTCATACGCCAGAGCTCTGTAGTATTATCAGAGGCCCAGGAACCATCAGCGGCAAAGGCCTAAGGACTAGAGTTCCTCTAATAGTGATAAGTACATATGTGCATGTGTTTAATGTAGTATGCAAACATCATTAAAGTTTCAAAAAGTAACATTCACCACCCAGAGCATACAGTCCATGTACGGAAACTAAGCTCGTTTTGAATTCATTATTTTTGTGATGTCACGAAAACCAATGTATTCACATTTATCCGCCTATTCGGCCTACAGAAGTTTAGCCCCGCCCGTTCAGACAGAAGCAATGAGGTGTGTTAAGGACGGCATAATACAAGGCAGCCAATCAGAGCAGAGGTTATTCACATCAGTCGAACTAATAAAACCAGCCTGTTTCAATTGAAGGGATAAAGAGAGGTTGGAAAATGGTCATGTGAGAATGAATTACGTTTACAGTTTTTTGTACATAAACCCACACAAGTGTTACAACTGGACCGCAGAGAAAAAATAATTAAAAAACAAGATAAACGTAGAACACGGGCTCTTTAAAATCAAGGTCGTTTTAGTACAAGACGCCCCTTTCTTAGGTTGCTGTGACCATTTGGTCCAATTAAATCTCCCCTAACTCCCAATCCCAGCCATGTACGCCGACGTAAAGTAACAGACGCCTTAGCCACTCCCCTTTAACATCGCCTCTGCTGCTGCTTTACGATTTTGATCGCACAGGCAGAGGCGACCAGAGGTTGTCGGAAGGATTTCCTACTCAGAGAGTGTAGAAGGCTGGACGAGCCTTAAAAAAACATGGAGTGAAGCTTTAATGATTGGAGCTCCGCCAGATTTATTGCTGAAGAAGAAAAGCGCCGCCGTTCCTGGATCCCGCCGCTGCTCGGCGGAGTTTGTGAGTAAAGATGAGGAGGATAACGGGAAAGACGAAAGATGCGACTCTCATAGAGATGACCAACACGGCGGATGCTCATGTAGAAGGTAGAAAATGCTGTCGGATAAACTAGTTTTTGAGACTTGGTGTTAAACTGAATGTGAAGTAGGCTGAACCTCGAATAGCAGGTTTGTGTTGGCGCGAATAATGTTTACCTTAGAAAGGTGAGAGACAGTGACACGTCGGGGTTCATGGTGGAATCAATAGAGAGAGAAAAGAAGCAGATAAGTTAGTCTTCTGCTTTTCACGCTTCCTTAGATAAAACGACCTTTAATAGATTCATTAGCTGGACTAAAAATACTTAAGTTACTCAAGTGTTACTGCGTAAACCACTGAAAATACCCGATGGTCATGCTAGGCTAGCTCACAAACCATGCAGACTGGAAGTTCTCTGTTTACTCAGGGGAGCGGTCTCCTACTACAGGTTGGGCTTTTGTTTTGGTTGTTTTGGACTGAACTTTCCTTACATTTTCCATGTTGGTTCAGGACTGTGTTTAATCTGTGTGGCTTGTTGTTTTGGACTAGGCTTACATATGATTTAGCTATGGGTATTACTCTGGGACTAAGTTTAGTCTATCCTTTAAAACTAGCTCCCCATTCATTCAGACTGCTGTTCATGGTTTTACAAAAGCCTAGAAAGAAGGAAGGCTGTACGTTGTCAGTGTGTTGTGTCTGGATTGCGTTTAAAGCAACCCTTGAAGCCACCGATTGTGGAAAATTCCAGCATTATTTAACCATCAAGATGTAAAAGAAGTTATTCAGAGTGGTTTGATGTGAAATATTCCATTGTAGAAAATCTTGCCGAGTCAGAATTGTACGCAGTTGTGGTGAAAGGAACCAAACGTCTCTTCAAGTATTTAATGCCTCTAAAAGAAAAGTATAACACTAAGGTTACAAATACGTTATCTCATGTCCGAGACATTGTTTTAAGGTGGTTTTGGCATGACGTGTTGACCTGAAATGTCTTTTTAACACTACTTTGATGACAGAGTGGTACATGCAGGTCATGGCAAAATAGTACCTACAGAAAGCTTTTTTTTCAGATTTACCATTATTTTACTATTATCAACTGATCACTGATCTTTTTGCATAGCAAATAAAATCATGACCCCTGGTTCCTATCACTGCCATTGTAAAGAAATCTCAGTCTAATTGTCTCAGCTGTTAACTATTTATATCAAACCACTCTCAATTACTTTGTTTACATCTCAGTGGTGGAATTCCCCTTTAATGTAATGCTTTGAACCAAAATTAAAAACGCTGACAATGGCAGGAGAAGAGTTTCACAGAGAAGACTGCTTCTGTGTTCTGCCAGGTCTGTGTTATGCCTCTTTTTCTAGACTATATTCTTCAAAATCATTGGAAAGGCAAGTACAATAAGTGTGCTCACTGTCTTCTGCTATGTTAGATACTACTACATCACTCAGAAGGTGCAATCCAGTTCAGTATTTCCTTGATTAAATTACACTCAAACCATAATCGGAGAATGTAAATCAAGATTCAGTCTTCAGAGAGAGTGTTTTACAAGTGAGGTCATGGTCTATTTAAAGGAATGAAACAGCGTTCATACTGTATGTTCTGTGAAGAAACCTCATTGATTCCCTTAGGGACGTGACTGTGTCAGAATTGACCCTGGGACCAGTCTGGAGTCTTTTTCAACCAGCCGTTTCATAATTTTGATCAATTTCACCACATGGTGCAGTTCGACCAGATGTGGAATTCTGGCAGCTCCCTTATCAAACACCTCAGTGAGTCATGAGTACAGTCATTTCCATTGCATGAGAGAGAGAATGTTTATAATTCTTTGGATACTGAGGATCAAATAAAGATGGCTCAGATACAGAGGGCAGAGACTGTAGGGTTCAGAAACAGGAGAGACTTTGGTTTAAAGGGCCCATATCCTGCATTTTCCCTGCATTTTATGTTTTCCCCCTGAGTTCCACTTATGACATTTGGGTACCAATATTAGTCATAATGGTCAGTTTTCCCTGACCATTTTTCAGTCTCTCTTAATCCTTACAATTAAACAAGGTGTTTTTGTTACTGTGCCTTTAAAACATATATGTAAGTACATGATATATATCGTACATAGAGATCAGTGTTTTTGGAGCAGATGCCAGTAACCGATACTGATCAAAGACAGGGTGTGGATGCAACATTTTAAGTCACAGAAGCGATTCTCAACAGTTAAACAAACACACCACTTCAGAAGCTCTGTCTTCTAAATTCATGGACACGTGTTGCCAAGGCAAACAATTTTTTTTTTTTTTTAGATCTATGTGGCCATAAAATCCTTTACAAACATTGTACGAACAATGGCCATGATATAATGTCAGAGCAAACAACAACACAGCAAGTAATATAACTAACGTTAGCGGGGCTATAGGTTAGCAAACTGTCACAACAATTGTTACTGCGAAGCTAACTGCAAACCTTAGCAAATGGGACAATAAAATACTGACCTACCGATTCCTTGAAACAGCACAATAAGTTAATATTACCCACCTGTCAAACAGAAACGGAGCAACATCCTCATCCGTTTTCATGCCTTGCCACTCCTGAAGCTGAAGTCAGCTTCTTTCTTGCCGGCTTCTTGAATTTTCCCATTCCACCATAAATGGTCTGGCGGTAACCATTGAAATAACCAGAGCCTACGCAACCGTGGCAGCTAACAGGACAAAACAGTCCTCCTTCTTCACGGATGGGCTTTTAAATGCACTGGAAAGGCTAAAAGGGCTGACATACAATCACTTTTGTAGTTCTGCTTCTTACTTTAAGTATCAGTCCTTGCCAAAGACATTGGTGTAGTGTAAGCTAAGATTAGCTCTCAGAGGCTAACAGAACCGAATCCGCAAAGCTTTGACAACAGCAGGTTTACAGCGAAATAGGAGCCAAATGTGCACTATACTTTAGGAAAAATGTTAGTTAGGATACAGTGAGGCTGAAGTTGGCCTTCTGAGTCACAGGGTCTAGTAAATATATGTAAACATAAATATGTATGCAAATGCTGTGTGTTGTGCCACATTCAGAAAGGCAGTCTGAGGTAAGGCACTGCTTATAATTTTGGTGTTGACCATTGGATAAGCTGCTGTATGCTCATTAATGGGCATCTGTGTAAATATGTTTGTTTTTGTGACATCACAACAACATCTAATTCAAATTAGGCTGTATTTGCAATTTAATTTCCATATGTGGACTGGAGAATGAATGGTACATTTTGGAAGTTAAACGAAGTTCACGTATGACCTTAAATTTACCATTATTGTTTATTAAATTCAGTTTTCCATGATATGGGCCCTTTAAAGACATGTCATGTCTAAAGATTGCTGTCTTGGATAAAGCTGTATGCTATTTACTGTACATACTGTAAAGAGTACCCTACACTGGCATTTCTTTTAATGGTACTGAGACACCCTGACTAACACTCTGCTATTAAGTCCTCCAGAGCATTTCTCTTCTTCTTATTACCACATAATAAGTGGCCAACCCCATTAGTGACCCGTACGAAGCTAAAATGAGTCAGCAACAGAGCTGTGAGAAGCTGTTGTTCCAACTCTGGGACAAATTGATTGGTGTTTGTTAAACAGGGCCCAGGAGAAATCTGTGAGAAACACATGTACGTTTGTATGGATACGTGAACGTATGTGTGTGTTGCACAGACCTGTTTGAGACCATTCTGCAGCTCCCCTGTATGTACCCCTTGTGTTTGTTGTGTGATGAATAAGGACTATTTGGAAAGAAGCTCAGAGAAGACGTGCAGCATTTGGGACATGCCTGCTCAGCAGTGAAGAGGAAGAATGCTATGTGAGGGAAAACTTCAGCCAAGTCTTATTTTCACTGCCAGAAATGCTAGAGTAATTTAATCTTAAGTGAACTAAGCCCAACCCATACATCACTGATTGATTTGGACATTTAGAATCTTTTCTTCTGCCATAACGTTTAGGGGTCTGGCTAATCTGTCCTGAGTCTTTGAACTAGGGAATTTTAATCAGACTGTTAGCTTCATTTGCAAGTTGTACTTTTATGGAAACGACCTAAATTTTTGTTGAATGATGAGTAGGGATGAATAATATGGCAAAAAATGATCACAATATTTCAAAGTATTTACACAGTATGCATCATGACATTTCTGAGATTTAGTAAGTTGGAACAGAAAAAATAGGGCCTGTAGTGCCACATATAAAAATACTATAATACTGCGATGGCTTTTATTCTGTGTTTTACAAACTGCACTAAATTCAATTAATCAGGCCTAAATATACTCACTTTGTAATGAAACATAGTTAGTCAGTGTTCTTTAAGTACTGACTATATCCACAATACACTCAGAAAAGCATATTGTGACATGTTTTATCATTATCATGACAAATTATTGTCTTGCTGCCCATCCCTAACAATAACAGCCAAAATATCCAGTCATTTTTAATGGTACACCAGCACTGGAGACAAGCAACAGTTTTATGTACACTGATCAGGCATAACATTATGACCACCTCCTTGTTTCTATGCTCATTGTCCATTTTATCAGCTCTACTTGCTATATAGGTGCACTTTGTAGTTTTACAATTACAGACTGTAGTCCATCTATTTCTCAGCACTGCAGTAACACTGACGTGGTGGTGGTGTGTTAGTGTGTGTTGTGCTGGTCTGAGTGGATCAGACACAGCAGTGCTGCTGGAGTTTTTCAACACTGTGTCCACTCACTGTCCACTCTATTAGACACTCCTACCTTGTCAGTCCACCTTGTAGATGTAAAGTCAGAGACAGTAGCTCATCTGCTGCTGCACAGTTTGTGTTGGTCATCCTCTAGTCCTTCATCAGTGGTCACAGGACGCTGCCCACAGGAGGCTGTTGGCTGGATATTTTTGGTTGGTGGACTATTCTCAGTCCAGCAGTGACACTGAGGTGTTTAAAAACTCCAGCAGCACTGCTGTGTCTGATCCACTCAGACCAGTGCAACACACACTAACACACCACCACCACATCAGTGTTACTGCAGTGCTGAGAATGATCCACCACCCAAATAGTGAGGGTGAGGGTCCATGGG